CTAACCCTAACCCTAACCCTAACCCTAACCCTAACCCTAACCCTAACCCTAACCCTAACCCTAACCCTAACCCTAACCCTAACCCTAACCCTAACTGTGAATTAACGTTAATTCACGTTAATTAACATGTTAAAACGCGTTAATTCACATTTTACATATGGTTCACACCTGCAAATCTGAACTTTCATTCCCTTGCTTCCTTTTCCCCTCATCTCACATCCTCATCGCCGCCCTTGCGAATTCTATAAACTCAACCACCTCTTTCTCCCCAATCGCAAATTCCTCTTCGTCCTCCCCGTCCCCCCACTCCTCCCCCACGTCGCCATCCTCAACGGCCATCCTAAACCTCATCTCTTCCTCTTCATACTCCCTCTCAATTCCTAGCGCCCGCGCACGCCTCATCCGATCCTCCTCCGCATCCCCCGCTCGCAAAATCTCATCTTCCTCGTCCTCGTCCACATCGCACACCCCGTCATACTCCGCATAACTTGTGAAGCCCTTCAATCGACTCTTTCCGCTCACTCCTTCCATCTCCACACTTTGCTTGTCTGACTTTCCAGCTTTCGCACCCCATTCCCCCTCCGGCAACGGTGGAATCAGCTCTTCCAGCGCCCGCCTTCTCTTTTCCGCTTCGTTCTCCTCCTCCTCCTCCTCTTCTTCGTCCTCCTCAAACAACCCTTGACCTCCTTCCCCTTCGAAAAATGTTTGCATCTTGTCCTTGAACGCATTCAGCTGCTCCATCGCGATCCCCTCCGCGTCCTCATTTGCGGTCTCTCCCTCTTCATACACCCAGTCATCTGGGTCTTCATACAACCGCAACGCTTTTGCACCTTTCTGCGCATCAACATACGGTGGCAACGATCGATCCTGCGCACACGCCTTGACAGCATCTAAAACAAATCCAAGCTCATCCGAAGTGTGCTCATCATTCTTGCTTTGACTCGCCGACCGCCAAATTTTCAATGCCTCCCTCTCCTTCTCCTTCCATTGATAGCTGTCTTGCAATTCTCCATCAAAATAGCCCTGCCTACTGAGTGACTTGATAAATTGTTGGTATGCCTCAGCCTCGCGCATCTGGTCATCCTGTACGTCGAATAGATTCTTTGGATTATTCAACATTCGACTCTTGACATTCGAATGCATCAACTCTAAGCCGCACACAATCTTGCAACCCAGATCTCGCCGTCTTCCTTCCTCCTTGACTGCAATTTCCCCTTCTGCAACCGTCTTGTCACCTCGCTCCTCCTCCAACGCATCCCAATATTTCATCACACTTTCACGCCACTCTGCGCCAAACACCTTCGGTGGAAAGTATCGCTCACCCAACAACATCGCGTACATCCTTCTTGGAATCTTGATCCTGATCAGAAAGGCTGGCCCGCCTTGTCCTCCAAATACACTCAGATCTCGCAACGTTCGAGCATCTTTTGGTCCTTCCCTTCCCTCGAATGCTTCGGCTGCGTCGGCAATGATTTGTGGATAGCGAGACACCAACTTGGCAGCCAGCATCGGCAAATATACCACCGTCGAATGCTGGCAATCTTGCGCCCACCCCAACTCAGGAAACGTTGGCATTCGATTCCGTTGAAGGGTTTCTACGAATTGTGGAGATGCGACCGTGTCCCGCCTCGATTGTAAGGCCTTGAGCGCTGTGATATGTTTGAGAGATTTGCCTTCCTCCAAAGAAGCCTCTAAGGTTTGTACCTCGTCATCCCCAGGGTGGTGCTCCAGAGTCAGCAGATGAAAGGCGCCACCCATAATCCAAAGTCGCCCATCTGCATTGTTTGGGTTAAGCCAATCCGGCAATTCTTCTGCCCCTTCGATCATCAAGAATTGTCCATCTTCATCGTATACATTCGCACAGAATCCGCGAGCGCTCGGTTCATCTTGAAACTTCTCACTTGCCAATATGAGCAAGTGGACAGCCAACCATTCATCTTCAACACTACCGCCATGCCTCATAGACGCACAAAGCCTAGCAGGCTTCTCGCCATCGTCTGTCTGATCGGCTACTGAGACTTTGAGTGGTTCTCTGTACCAAATGTATCCTTCCAGGGTATCTTTGCAATGATCGTTGATGAATTTTTGTAAAAGTGCTGCTAATGAGGTCAGATTTTGATGGATTGTATCGGGTGAATCTGATTCGTAAAATGTAGAAGAAGGGTATATATCGGCACAGAACAAAGGCGTACGATCTTGTGTTGGTAATGTATTGGACTGCATCGCCTTCCACGTTTGCGATGATGGATGCAAAAAGAACAACAGGTTCAAGCTGTGGTGGAGAACTTTTCTCTTTTGTGAACACGTGAGAAATCATTCAAAGCGTGCGCCCGACAGTGAGACATTAAATCGGAAGAAAGCGTGTAATTTAAGTCATGCAGGTTTATGCCTGCTCTTCTCAAGATGGGCAACCTCTCAATCAAACAAGGTGCAAGAAGATCTGGATGCTGGGAAGACCGAAATGTTTGCAAAGCCTAAATAAATGCTATCCACTCTATCATTAACATAATGTGCAACTGATCATGCATGTGATTAAATGTTGATGTTTGCGAGTACATAAGGTCTAATGATGATCTCCGTGTGCAGTCTTTTTGTCGATCTTGTAACCAACGATATGCCTTCTGCCAATCTATGTGGAAAGAATAGTTAGTCACTTGATCCGCAATGTACCCTAAAGCTACTCACCATTTGACCGATATGGAAAATACCATATGCCTCAACTGCATAAATTGCAGTCTTTTGCCATTCTCCAGATTTGGCCAAGTTTGTCCACCAATTAGCATCAATAGCACGAGCATACATTGTCTTGTATGCATCTTGAATGACTTGTAGCGAGCGTGGTGGTGCTAATCCTTCAGCGATGTATACTTGTTTGAACAAAGAACCGGCCACACGCAAGTTGTACATGAATGCATCTGCGTAAGAGGAAACATTTACTAAAGAGAGATGAATTGTCAGATGTCTTGATCGGATTCAATCTCTGACACACATCTACTCACCACCTGTTGCTGATGAAGCACGATCTGCCAATGGTTTACCAAATGCTTTTGCCTTTTCAGCCAAACCGCTCAATTGTTTTGATGCTCCTTCTGCTGCATTTCTTGCACTGCTTGCCACATCAGAACGTGGAACGGATGTATGCAACTGACGATTTAATCCTGAACGGAATGCTGCTGTACGTAAAGAAGAGAAGATCATGATGATATGTGTATGTGACGAGGCAATCGTGGTGAGAAGAAAGTTTGCAAGGATTCTCAATTGCAAGCTTCTAGCGCGAGATTGCATTCAAGGGCGTTTTTGCCTTTTCGCGCCTAAGCCGTTGTTTGCCCGCTGCTCTGCTTCATTGACTCAAAAATAAAAGCAGTGAGCGCGGTGCATAAACGCAGGCAAAGCATGCCAGCTTCACACTTTCATTATCCTCAAGCGTGATTTTACGCCTTGCTACACAATCAGAAGCATCACAATGAAAGTCTGATTTTTGACATCTTTGGCATAGTGTTGATGATCAAAATACATACTGCATGCTTCTTCCTGCCAAGCTGTTATTTTTAGATTAAACTTGGCCGGCTTGTCGTTCAATCACCTTTTTGGCACTCTTTCTCAGGCTAATAAGAATCTTTAAGGCACACAAACAACTAATGTATTTTCTCTGGCGCATCAGCTGAGACGGCGTAATTTATTTCTATGCACCAGGCGCGTGCTGCTTACAATTCCCAACAATCTTTCCTTCATCAGGACCGCCGTTTGTCCCGATTTGAATATCATTTCCCTTCTTTCTTTTCAAAATGAAGCTCAGGAAGACGGATCCACATAACCGTTTCATAAGAGATGATGTACAGATTGAATTATGCATTGTACGTGCGAAAGATCACATGGCGGAGGTAAGGATAGAATACAGTAAAGTGCATTATTATTACCCTTTCGCGCAGGCTCAGGCGCTAAACAAGGGTAACTTGCGTGTTTGTACATTTTGTGATCTTCTGCAATAGTTTGTATCTCTCTTTCCCCATCTTTTCCCTTTTTTTACCTCACATCGATGCTATGCAAACAATATATCAACTAATCAACCAATCCAATCATTACAGCCATCATTATTGATTAGCATCCTTTTGCAATACGCACGACAGTCACATCCAATCGACGTGGGGGAGATTGATCATCATCAAAGGCACGCTCGTCAATCTTAGTATGCAAGCCATCTGTAATACCTGATAGGATAGACCATTTCTGCCAACATGTCATTCCGTTGGAAAGGCCTTCTGGGCGTGGGAAGCAATTCAAATTCACCTTCTGGCCTTACATCGCCAAATGCACATCTACAGGATGGTAAAGACAATTGGTTGGTGCCCGATGAACAGGAATGGGCTAATCACTCATTCGATCCGCTCGATGTGCCAAATATGCTAGGGTTGGAAAATTTCGGCAATACGTGCTATGTTAACTCAGTGATGCAAGCTTTGTACTTTTGCGACCCGTTTCGAGAATCAATATTGGCATACAGTACAAAGCAAACTCCAAAGAAAGCAGCCTTGAATCTTTCCATACCTGGACCCGAAAATGACAACCCTCAAAATGAAATTGATACCCTTTTTCTTGCTTTAAAGTCGCTATTCCAAAGAATGGCTTCTGCTCAAGTAACGATACCCATCGGACAAGTAAATCAACAATCACAACCGGAATCTCAAATGCAATCCTCTTCTTCTCATTCTACTTCTTTCATCGGTTCAGGTCTTTCAAGAAAAGTGTCAAGTAGACCCGGAACAGCAAGTGGCGGAAAAGTCGGTGTCAATGCTGCAGCCAATGCGACCAACAATGCAAATTCGAACTCGAACACAACAAACAACTCAAACCCAGTCAATGGAATACCATCTCCCAATGTTTTGCAAACCAATGCGAATTCTTGTTCGAATATCGTTGTCTCGGATACGGATATCAAAGCATTCTTGACTTCTTTGAGGAAGAACAATATCTTGTTCGATTCGACAGCACATCAAGACGCTCATGAACTGTTCAATTTTGTCCTGAATCGCATCGGTGAAGATATTGTGGACGAGGCCAAAACCGATGGAAGAATGAATGGATCATTAGCAGGATCACAAAACATCGTTCACGATGTCGAACCAAATGGAAAAACGATGATACACCGGTTATTCGAGGGGATTTTAACCAATGAGACAAGATGTCTGACGTGTGAATCGGTCACTTCAAGAGATGAATGTTTCTTGGATTTATCGCTGGATATTGAACGTAACACAAGTGTGACCGCATGTTTGCGTCAATTCAGTGCAAGTGAGATGTTGTGTGCTCGAAATAAATTCTTTTGCGATACATGTTCCGGATTGCAAGAAGCAGAAAAGCGAATGAAGATCAAAAAGCTGCCCAATGTTTTGGCGTTACATTTGAAACGCTTCAAGTACGAAGAGTCTGTTCAAAAATTCGTCAAGTTGGCCTATCGTGTCGTTTTCCCGATGCAGTTGCGTTTGTTCAACACTTCAGATGATGCTGAAGATCCAGATAAATTGTACGAACTATATGGAATCATTGTTCATATCGGTGTCGGCCCGCATCATGGACATTACGTCGCTATCATCAAGGTGGATAAAAGATGGTTTGTCTTTGATGATGAAACGATCAGCGTGATTGATGAATCGGACATCTCAAGATACTTTGGTGATACACCAGGAGCGGGAAGTGCTTATGTTCTGTTTTATCAAGCTGTGGATTTGGATATGTCTAGCCTTGGCCTTCCTGATGTCAAGGCTATGCGAGCAGAGAAAGCAAAGGTACGAAGAGAAGAAAGCATCAAGAGACGAGTTCAGCAGCACAAACAACAGACTGCTTCCCCTAATCCTGATACTCTTTCAACGCCTATGCAACGTGGCTCATCTGGAACTGCGACAGCTTCCTCCTTGTTCTCTGGATTTTTGGGTTCGTCGTCAAATCAAAATGCCGTAGAAGGGTCTAACGATGGAGCACCTTTGGAAGTTCCATCTCGTTCTACTACACCAGCAGAAGGTCGATCTGGCTTATTCGGTCGTTTCCAGAGTCCAAGCAGCGGTGCATCCAATACAAATCCGCCTCTTTCGCTCAATGGGACAACACTGCAAATACCTTCTCCAGCAAATCAAGCTCCTGCTTCGCCAACATCAGCAGAGCCAAATGAAAGCAAAGGATCCTGGCTAACCTCTCTTCGCTCGAGAAAAGGATCGGCAAATGTGGCAGCAAATCAAATATTCCCCCAAAGTAGCCCGACTTTATCGTCAAATAAGATTTTGCATGCAGAGCCTCTTGCCTTGGATGATGATGGTCAGCATTCGCTTTCGGCCACAAGCTCGAATAATGCTGATGAGAGAAATTCAAGGGACGAAAAAAGAACGCTTTCACCTCAAAAACCAATTGAACGTCAACGATCGCCTTTACGAACCGATTTTACAGCGGAGGAAAAGAGAGATGGCAAGGTAGAAAGGCGGACTACATTAACGGGAGGATCATTGAGCGCATCTACGTCTACAAATGTGTCTCCTAGCAAAACGCCCGTACGACCTGCTGCTCCTGGACAAGGTGCAACCTTTACACCAGCTGAAAGACCTTTGAGCAAAAAAGAACAAGAAAAGATTGCTAGAAAAGCTAGGCGGAATACAAGCATTAGTGTCTCTACTGCCCATACTCCTGCTACAGCATTACCGCCTTCTCCTCCTTTCCCTAACCCTCTACCGTTGCCTATCGCCACAAGTGCTTTGGGAAATAATTCGAATCAAAGACGCAAATCTGATGAAGATCCTGCTCCATTGCCAACGTCCAATAGTGCAATGAGTGGATGGAGAAGAGTAACCACGCCAAGAAGACCAACAACTGCTGATCCATCTATTGATCCAACCAAAGCAACAACTCAAAGGAGAAGAAGCACTCTTAGTAGAACGTTTGGCTTTGGAAAGAAGGATAAGAATCCCGATGTTGCTTGATATTGATGATTGCTTATATAATCAATTGTACTTTTATGCATTCTTATCATACGCGTTTGACATTCTAGAAAGGTGGAGAAGGATCCATTTTCTGTTTGGGCATTTGAGCAGTGTGTTTTAATTAGCCAAAAGTTTTCCTGTTCAATGATATTATTTAAGATTTAAGTTGCAGCTTACCATTTCACAATTGTTGGAAGAAGCCATCATCTTCCCGTTTAAACTATTCTCAACATAATGTCAGGTCCACCCAGGTTACCCAACAATCCCGACCAATTACTCAAATGGTCCATAGCTCAAAGTACACCAGGTGGTGGAAGTGGCGATGCCGAAGCAGACGCAGCTAATCATCCTGGAATTCAACAAATCGCTGGAGATATCTCGTCTGGAAGAAGGCCAGATTTGGCAGATCCAGCATTGTATGATGCATTGATGGGCAAAAGTGAAGCACAAATGATGCGAGAAGAACTTTCAGCAGCTTTGGATACAAATCGAACAGAATCAGATCGGATACAAGCATTAGACAATTTTGAAATGTTGATCGAGCAAATCGATAATGCAAACAATATCACTTCAATGAAGATGTGGGAGCCACTTTTGGGTCTTTTGACCGGATCACAGGAATCACATGCAACCAGTCCAGCAATTCAAGTTGCAACCCTTTGGATCGTTGGTACTGCCGTTCAGAACAATGACAAAGCACAAATGACAGTATTGCAATTCGGTTTCCTCAAGCCCATCATTTCCCTTTTGGTACATGGCGCGGATGGGCAAGTACGCAGTAAGGCATTGTACGCATTAAGTGGAATCCTTAAACACAATGCAAAAGCTGTTCTCTCGTTCATCGAGCTAGATGGATGGAACGCACTATGTGGTGCACTACTTGATCCTGACGTCTCTTTACGTCGCAAGTCTGCATTCTTGATCAATTCTCTTCTATTGCAAGACGATTCCGCATCACAATCAACACAAGAAGAAGTTCCACCTGCAAGAACTGGACTTTCAACTGCTGTTGCTCCCGTTCCCAATTCAGGACCTGGAGAATTGCCATCTGCTCCGCTTGAGCAACCTCCTGCAACACTTGCAGATGGCATCAAACATCCATCCATTGTCTCACAATTGGTTGAATCGAGGTTACTGAATACTCTGATCGTATCTCTCTTACCCGCTTCGATTCAATCTAGCCTGCCTTCTGCATCATTGGAAGGTATAGATACGGCCACATCAGCAGGACCGGATGGAGACATTGAATTACGTGATGATTTGGACTACGCTGAAAAAGCAAGTAGAGCATGTTTGACATTTGTGGAGAAATGTCAAGAAGCAAAAGAGAACGGAAAAGATGCTTTGCAAACCATTCAACAAGATCAAAAGCAACTCGTCAAAACATTGTTGCACGCCCTACTGCAAGAATGGAATGAAGGAGCGATTGAACAGGACGCTGACATTAAACAACGTTGGCAAGAACTCGGTCTCACTCAAGCCGAGCTAAACACATACGAAACAGTCGTAAATACCTTGTAATTAATGTGTATTAGATAATTATAATAGATGTAGTACATGAAGACATTCAAGTCTTATTCCCTCAAAGTTTAGAGCCTTCAGTTTGTGCAGGGCTTTGTGATTCACACAGTGTACGCATATAACGTAAAGCATCAACAATCGCACGAGCAAAAGTGTTTGTTGGGTGCTGTCCAAGTTGCCCGTTTCCATACGGTTCAGGATGCTTGGTTTCAATGCCAAACTTGAGTAATTGACTTCCGGTTAGATAATTGATTCCCACTCCGTCCAAGAAGCCACTGCCGAATCCTGTACCTGCCAAAAGATCTCCTGCTGATAAACCAGAAGTGGAAAGTTTCCATGTTTGACTATCCCCCAACAAAGGATCGGCAAATAGTAATTCTGCGCCTGCATAGAAGTTCTTTCCCCTCTTTCCTGCATAATCAGTCAAAGACCCATCTTCAGTTGCATCATAGACCAATCTCAATCCTGTCAAATGACGATCAATTCCTTTACCGAATGAAGATGCACGAGTTTGTTGGTTGTGAGCTGTCGTGGCTGCTGATAACAATTTGTACACCTCTGCTTCTGGTTTACCTTCTCTTACCGCACGTACGAATTCATAACTTTCTCGTGAGAAGGAGCGGATAACGTCTGTTCTTCCATGCTTAAAAGATCTTGTACTTGCTGTTTCGTAAGTTGGTGTTTGATGTCCTTTGACTTTGAACATTGCCAATTGTAGTGCTTGTTGAAGATAAGCGTCTGGACTTTGTTTTGCTACCTTTTTGATCCATTCAGTTCCGTATTCATCGAACCATAGCTCACCAATATCACTCTCTCCACTGATCCTTCTTGCTTCGTTGAATGCAGTTTGAATATCTTCTTCCACTTTTGCATCCACGTCAAATTCAAATTTGCTAAAGATGGGCTCGGCAGTGGATTTGACAGAAGGTGCAGTGTATGGCAAATTCTCTTCCAATTTTTCATCAGGTTTAGGTGCTGGAACGGCAGCAGCAAAATCGATCAGGATACTTGGAATCAAAGCATCACAAGGTGAATGTTCTCCCATCAATCCTGCTCTTCCGTTAGGCTCAACAATCAAACTGATTGCTTTGTCGAACCATCTGTTCAAGCCTCCACGACCTGCTCCGGATGAGTTACGTGCGTGCGAATCAACTGTAGGTGGTGTGGAAGGATGTGCAGGCTCTGCATTGTGCTTGGCGATTGGAAGAACGGAAGAGTCCAATGAAAGACTGAACAAAGCATCTTCGATAACGTTGATCGATTCGCGATTCTTTGGTGAGATTGAGAGAAGATGCTCTCTTGATCGAGTCCAATCATCACGTCCAATAGCTGTGAGCACTCCGACTGCTTTTCCATCACCTCTACGTGCATCTTGTACAATGCTCGTCAATGCCAGTTCCAAATCACTCGGCGAAACCAATGATCCATCTTTGTTTTGCACTTGAAGTTTATAGAAATTGTTGCGTGCTAAAACGATGATGTGGTTGTGCTTGTTTGGAAATCCTGCTTCGATATTGAAGTCATGCGGAATTGCAGGAATACGGGTCACACCAAACATACGGGTATACTGATGCATGCAGAGAGGTCCTGCTCTTGAAGCATCTGGTAAGATATCTTGCGATTCCAGACGAACTTTGAATTGCATCAATCTGTGACAGATCCATGCAGCTCGACGAATACCCCATTCGCTTTGCTTCCAATCGTTTGCTCCTAGAGCGGTTGCAATATCTGCGTCAGGGATTAGATCGCCAACACGTTCTACCTGTATTTCCGGCTTTTCCAATTCTGCAGCCGGTGTGTCTGGGTTGGCTCTGAACATGAGCCACCAATTGGAATTGACAAGAAGTGGAACACGCCATTCATGGTATGCTTTCTGTAACCAGAATCGATCATCTAGCCAATTATTAGGAGATGTACGATCGACATCCAATAAGCGTTGTTGTAATTTTTGAACGAGTGAGCCTGATTTCAAAGCATCTGCTGCCCATTTTTGTCTTTTTGCTAATTCTGATTGTGCAGTTTGTCCGGGTGGTAATTGACCCAATTCTTCGGCTTGCAAGAGAATTGGTTCTAAACTTTTAATGTATCGTGCAAATGTATCTTCTAGAGCTGGAACGGGTAATTTTGGCAATTTATCTTGTTGGGAGAATGTCTTTGGCTTGTCAGCTGCATTACCACGAAATTTGGTCAGAGCAAACATGTTTGTATTGCTTGAATGAAAGGAGCGATTTTGTAAAGGTGATTTGTTGTTTTTGTATTCTTGCGCCTTCAGGGAAAGAGGTCGAAATGTGTTTAAAATTGGAACAGATACAATCGGTCGCACAACACCAAATGAATGCTTCACTACAAGCATTGCCGAGAGGAAAAGGTGTTTAGGTGATGGTTGAAGAATGAATGTTCAAAGTGATGTTGGAATACAAAAGAAGGCGAGCTAATTTCTGTTCTGAGCCAAGAAGCATTTCCCTCCTCCTGTGAAAGCAAGCCTAATGCATTTAATGTCTTTTTAGCCGAAGAGCGATTTCACAACACCGAAGCAGTGCACTTTATGCAGCGCGTTGGCATGTACATTATGAATCCGAGCACCGGTTGCAGCAATTATTGTTGTTCTCCCCGCTTTCTTTAGTTAAAAAAAAGGAGGGGTGAACGCGTTAATCCAGAGAATCATCATCTTCGGAGAATTGTCAATCTGGGGTTTACCGGTTTTTCAAGCACAACAAAGTGCCGTATCGTCCATCCCTCTCTCTCTCTCTCTCTCTGTGTTTAAACTATTCAACATCGGAAATTAGAGTATCGAGATTGAGCATAATCGATATAAAGTTTGTATAGCACAAATAAAGACGCAATTGTGTTTTGCGAGTCAAGATGACCGGGGGAATAAAGTTAGAGGAGAAAGATAAATATAGAAAAGAGTATACATCCTGATGATAAAATGTGCACCTTTTTTTCAGATTTAATTGTGTGTTGCAGTAACGGTGACAGGTCCTCTGTACAAACTACCACCATGACGGAATATACATTGAGCGCTCAATTCGGTAGCCGATAAACGCATTGCCAAAGAAACATCGGCCCGTAAAAAATCTTTTCCATCAGCTGTTTTGCATCTTTGTAAAAGTGAATGAAAAGGTTGCATATCAATTGTAAACGTTGCCAATTGTTCAAATCCAGGTTCATCAACAAATTCCGGTGATTCATCATCACCTCGATAAACGTATAATGCAATATTGGCCGTACATGGCACACTTGGAACCCACGTTAGCACAAAAGGTGCAACATGCTCCTCATCATCCCTTCCACTTTCACCTTTACGTAAGATACATCCAAAAGCGTCAGGAAGATGTCGAACACCATCCACACCACCGTATGCCTTTGAAGTTCTTGAGGTATGTTTAGGATCCGTTGCACGGAAAACGGTCGAACATTTGATTCCAAAAGAATGTCTGCTCACTCTTGATCCAACCACTCCATCAATCACCCAGACCAAAGCTCCAGACGCAACAGCCTTTGCCGTTGATTCGTCTGGCTTGCACAATTGCACCAAATTTCCCAATCGATTTTGCAATTCCCTTCTAAAGTAAACACTTTCACTGAACCCTCCTACCATTGCAACTGTAACGGCAGCTCCTTGTGCGTTCGTCACTCTTCTTCGGATACTCTGTTCTGTGGCTGAAATGGAGGGTTCGAAGAATTTTGCTACTTCTTTTCCGGTAAATACCAATTTTCCTCTTCTCAATCGAATGGAAGGATCATTTTCAGAAGAAGATCCGATAGGTAGCAGAATTTGCTCTTGTTCTGAATTCATAAATGTTTCCTTTATCGAAGATGCAAACGCTTGACGTAATCCTCTCAAATCTTCCACGTTATCCCATCGGGTATTCTTGAGCCTTTCTTGTAGATAAAGCATCGCTCGATGATCCACTGTTGCACTACCTCCCAAAATACAGTCTGAAACGCCATTTTCACGTACTTCAATTGCAGGGTATGTGTTTGTCACTTCATACGTAGAAATATCAATTGTACCACCACCTGCATCACAAACGATCAAATTTTGACCAGATCTATCGAGCCAATCTCCGGTTGCTGCAGGATTCATTGCACAAAAGTTAATACTTGCCTCTGCTTCTGTAACGAATCTGATTGAATCTCCTCGATCTGGCGTGACAAGTTGAGCGGCGATACAGGCTTGACGTAGGAGTTGTTGTTGTGCGATTTCCCATCCGTTTGGTACAGTGACAATGTAGGAAGTATTTTGACCAAGAGTCATCAGGATTTCATGACCATTGGATAGTCTAGAGTAGATGTATGTTCCAATGCAACGGACCATATATGCCAAGAAACCTGCGCAAACTTGTTCAGCAGAGATTCCACTCGGTAGTGGATCTAGATTCACATCTTCGCTGGCTTCTCCATCCATATGAATGACGTGAAGATGATCAGGTTTCAAATGCAATTTCCACCAACGTATCTGATAGCCTCCTTCGTCCAATGCATTTTCTGCATCACTTCCTTCTGCTTCAGCACCGAAGAATCGAGGGACTTTGTTGGCATCGTATGTGACTACAGAAGGAATCTTTGATAAATGACTTGGTTGACCTGGCCACGCACGTACATCTTCGATCTTTGGACGTTTTCCAGGTTCAAGGATACAATAACTTGCACCACTATACGTAGTTCCCAAATCGATTGCGATGATCAGTTGACGTTGACCTTGATATGGCAACCATTCTTTTCCTGCTCTTCTTTGTTGTTTTGATGTTTGTGTTGCACCATTTGGTTGAACGAGGTATTGAGCATAACTATTTTTTGTGCCGTTGCCGTTTGTCATTGTGCTTCCAAAGCTTGCACGTTGTGACATTGTTGGGGTGATTCCCTCTACTTAATCAAATGACAGATCGAAATAGTGATGAATAGTTTGGTTGATGGAAAGGATGATGATCATATACAGCAGAAGAATTGAAATGACGTTTTAATTTGAGAAAACCTTTTTATCGCGGATAAAGACGCTAGAAATTGCGCTGGTGTGTGTGTGTGTGTGTATTGGTTATAGGTTACGCCTTTTGAATGTGTGTGCGTGTGTACGTGTACATTGTGCACTACGCGACTCTTTTTTCATTTGTATTCATTCAATTACATTTATATTTCTTGTTTCTTAACTTTGACTATGCATAGTGTGAAACCTGCAGGTTTGATGCCGTGTACCTTATATTTATTCAATTCAAAGGCAGTCTACAACTGTCAACGGCAATTGGCCTTTGCCTGCTAATAGAACACAAATGATGGTTAAACTCATCATCATTCCATCGCTACCGTTTATTGATTTCCTGTCAACGATTTCTCAAATGACCATAAGACAAAAATCATACTTCTCTAATTGGCGTTTACGGTGCCGAAGTGAAGAAATCATATGCATATGTTGTAACAAATACTTATCGACAGTGCGGCTTCCGCTTCTTTTTCACCTTTTGTTGATTTTGTAATGTGAACATGTGTTACTCTCAACGGATAAGATAGAAAGAGAAATGCAGCACGTGGTAACAATATAGTGACTGATGAAAGAATGCATCCTCGTAGGAGTTGACTCTTGTTACTTGATTGTCTTGAAATCACATTGTTGGTATTGCTATTGCGCCCATCGAACATCGGAATGAGGTCCCTCTTTTGCCACAAGAAGAGTCTAATCATTTTGGCCTTCTATATAATCTCTTCCTTTCCACCATCACGACCTACGATTTTCAGAACAACAAGTTGAATTTTAGAAAATGCGTTCTTCCTTTGCTTTCGCCTTCCTTGTCACGACTTTGAGCTTTGTCTTTTTACTCAACCTTGTCAATGCCGTTTGCGAGTGAGTTGTATTGTATCGATTTGCATATCAGAATATATCCTGATCACTTTCTTCCTTATACCATAGCATCTCTCTTCAATGTGTAGACGATAATTCTTGCGTCGACGATTATAAGGGAACCGTGCAAGACCAAAACGTATGCAACCCTGTTTGTGGTCAAGACGGTCGTAAACCAGAATGTTGCAGATTGTGTGAAGGAAATGGTGCAGATTGATAGTTGATCAATTTATTCAATGCTATTTTCATGATAACTTTGTTTGTCAAACCACTATCATTATGTGAATTTTGAGGTGTTGCAATTATGAAACCTGGCCGCCCACTCAGATATTTCTTCGGTTGGCGTTCGTAAGACCGACGCTTAAGATAATCCAATTGCAGTAAAAATTTAAACCGCAGCACTATATCACAAAGTGAATGTGCGGCAACCGTTTCTCATCTTTTTTTTTTGTTGAGGTATTTTGAAAGTAGATTCTTCAAATCTTCTTTCAAACTCTATACACCATCTTAAACAATGCGTTCCTACATCAACATTATCTTTCTCATCATGACTCTAAGCCTCGTCTTATTCGTCAATTCTGTTCAAGCCGATTGCGAGTGAGTACAGTATATTGAAACACTTTCATGCTGAAACTTGAACTAATTCTTGTTTTGATGTAGTTACTCGATTGCATGTGTATTCACAGGCGCTTGTCAAAGTGGTGAATTCAATGGGGGTGTTCAAGCAGCAGATGTTTGTAATCCGCAATGCAATCGCGAACGTCCAGGATGCTGCAAATTTTGTGAAGGAACGAACTAATGCAGCCATAACAAGAAATTGACTTGATCGATGCTAGGCTCGTTGTCTGTTGTCATCATTGATGTTCGCACAGCTTATTTACTTGCTTGGCCGAGGTGTAACGTTTTTCAACCGTTCTGTTAGTTGAAGCTCGGTTCAATAAATAGTCAGCAGAGTAATGGCTCATTATCATCATCGTCAATTTTTGCTACGAGAATGCAATTGATAATTTTATTCAATCTCCTAGCAATTTATCTCTGCCATTTGATCTCTCCGATGTCGCGAGCCTGTGAAATTAAGGAAACAGGGGTCTTAACCTTTGCAGGAGTAATATGATCAATCTGGTCTGCGCGACAATTTACCTTTCTTGCTGATAATGTTATTCATTCTCCTAGCAATTTATCTCTGCCATTTGATCTAACCCCTATGTCGCTAGCCTGTGAAATTAAAGAAACAAGGGTCTTAACCTTTACAGGAGTGATTTGATCAATCTGGTCTCCGTAACAATTTACCTTTCTTGCTTCCGCACCATCATAATTTCCGTTTTCATCCTACTTTCTCGACAATGCGTCCTTTCTTCAATCTTGTCTTCCTTGCCACGGCTTTAAACCTCTTCTTTTCACTTAATCTCATTCAAGCCGGTTGCGAGTGAGTGTATTGGATTGATGTTTGTTTTGAATTGTATCCTGATCAAGTTTTTCTTTATCACAGCATATCACGGGCATGTGTAGATAAGGGTTCCTGCGTCAGCGATTATTCAGGAACGGTAAAAGACGCCACTGTATGCAATCCTACCTGTGGTACAGCCGGTCAAAAGGCAGAATGTTGCGAAATGTGCGGAGGTTGAATTGATCGAATGAGATCTATAATATCTATTCATTGATATCCCATTCAGTCAATCTTATATAGTCATATTACAATCATCAATTTTCGAGTATTGGTCAGATAGTCTGACAGAATTGGACCAATTGGTTGTATTTTTGAAAAGAAAGAGGAGGCTTTGGCGTGGCGGCGCAGGGCTTTTATTATTATTATGATTTAAAGTAGCGCCCTTTTTGGCAGAATGAATTGAAGCTGAGCTTGCAAGGCAGAATAGCAGTCTCTTTTTATTGTATACGCCCATTTGGATGCATTATTATGCGTGCGCAAGCTGATCCGGATCAACTCTTTTCTTTTTCTTTTGGTGCAGATCATTGTAACACTAAAGCACAACAAACAAACAATACCTCTTTTCACCTCCTAACAAACACAACCTGAAATTACTCCACTGAACATCCCGTCTCCGCTCATTCAAAACAAAAGTACGGCTGCTTGATGTATTGATTTCACTCTTTGGGCCGATATGCAAACTTCCGATGAGGGGAAAGTGGAAAGAATGAATGAAATACCTAATTCCACTTCATTCTTACAAAGTACACAAACAGACGATGAGCAATCTGACAAATTAGATCAATCGACAAACGTTGCATCTCAAACTCACATTCCCGAAGAAACTTCTACCACAATCGAAGACATTGATTCTCAAAATCAAGCCAATCTTGACGCCGCATCTCAATCAGCAAAAGATGATGCTGAAGAGATCATTAAGATTCCAAACACCATCCCACCTTCAAATGAGGTTGTAGCAGCAATCAACGTCGACGAAAAATCGGATAGTGGACCAGGTAAAACAGATAGCAAAGATACAACAGGGTCCAGTGAAAACGTCGCCGATGATCAAGAGACGGGAAAAGATGACAAAGAGACACATGACGAAATTATGCAGGTGGATGTAAGAGAAGGAAGCACTGATATACCAGCAGAGCCTATTGCTGAGAAGGACTCAAAAGAAGTAGAAAAGGTAGAGAAATCAACCGATGCGGAGGTTGACCAACAAATGCTCGATGGAACGACAACAATGCATGATGAAGCCGAAATTGCAACAACCTCGAACAAGGATGCTTCTACTCTAGGTGAAGCAGCTGCAACAGAGGGAGAAATGATCACATCCACTGAAAAATCTTTAGACGACGGACAAAGCGAGCAAGCAAATGACAATTTTGCGACTGTGGTACCTAAAGATGAAACAATTGACGCAAAGGAAGGCGAGGTTCCTTCTCCACAACATCAGCATGCAGAAGAGGAGGTGCAAGAGCTCAGCCCAGCTGCAGCAGATGATGCATATACGGAGAATGCTCTTCCAGAAAATGACAAGAAAAATCTCAACAGTGACTCGATCGTAGAGAAGACGGTAGATGATCAGCAGACGGAAAAGACAGCATCCCAGATTGACATTCCTGAAGTACAAACAGAGCCATCTGATGAAAGTGCAAAAGTAGCCGGAGACGCTGATTCCATTTCTTCACAACAACAATCACAGGCAGCTGCCACCGAACCATCTGATGAAGGTAAAGGAATAATGAAAGGCGTTGGTTCTGCTACAATTCAACAACAATCGCAAAGCGCTGCTACCGAACCATCTGAAGTAGAAGCAACTGAATCAGCTCTTCCAGCAAATCCTCCGAATAGCGAGCCAGCAGCTTCACAGGCAGATGAGAACGCAACAATAGTTGATTCAAAAGCAGAGGCTGAGAGCGATGATGCTTTAAAGATTGCAAATCATGATGTTCAATCAGCCGCAAACAATGCAGATGCAGCACAATCGGAAGATGCATCTCAAGATCCTACAGCTGTTACACAAATCGCAATTCTTCTCAAAATTAACAAAGAGCTCATACGACTTTGTATCGATTTGCAAGGTAAAGAACAGACTAATGACCCTATCTACAAAGAATCTGCTATGCGTCTTCAAGCCAATTTAGCGTTCTTAGCAGCCATGGCTGAACCATCATCGAGCAAAGGTTCAAAGCAGACGAACGCGATGTTAAACGATGAGCCTTTTCCCATTACCAGTATGACCTCGGGAACACTTTTGCCGAAACTTTATGCACACCTTCGATCGATTTCCACAGAACCAAAAGATTCTTCAAAAGAAGCAGAACAGAGTCGGGAGCCGCCAACTCAAGATGCCAACGTTTCAGAAGATGTCATGCAAAAATCAAGTGACCAATCTTCATCTTCTTCGTCGCCCAACACAGCAGGTTCAAAGAAGAGAAGACGAACTTCTACTTCTGAGCAAGACGCTCAATCAAATCGTACAGCTCCCGGTAGAAGTGCTTCTTCAAATGGGACCAAGCCAACTAACAGACGAAAGAGTAGTACAAGTGCCAATGCTATTGCAACATCAGCGGCATCAACACCAACTCTAGCAATGCCACAAGCTGTTCCTGCTGCTTCATCTGCTGCTGCTACAGATATGGCTGCACATTCGCCTAATCTGCCGCTGCCCAACGGATCTGCAACCGGTTCCAACGGCTCTCCTGCGCAAGGTCCATCAACAATTTCACCACAATCACATGGTGCACGAAATGGAAATCCGACACCGCAACAGCTTCAAGGTCTTATCCAAGCGTTTGGTCAAAATGCTGTGAACAATCTGAATGCGTTGCAATCTCATTACCGTTCCGGTCAACCACAAGCAGTTGTTGCATACATGGAATCCAACGTTCCGAATTTCCGTAATTTGCCTCTTCAATTGCAATTACAACAGATGGCTTCTGTTCAAAATGCAGCCATTCAAAGACAAAGGCAAGCATCCATTGGTTCGACAATTTCAAATAATGCTGCTTCACCTGGAGCACCCGGAACTCCACAGCAACAACAATCTGGACCATCTCATCAAAGACGTCCATCTGCTGCCGCCGCTCCTAGTCCTGGCGGCGATCAACTTCGAAGGAGTACGCAAAGTCCAATGTCAGCTCCCAACGTTCCGCCTTTTTCTCAACAAGCGACAGTGAATGGAATTGGGCAGCAACAACAGCAAGCGCCTGGAACACCTGTAAATATGTCAATGCCATTCGGAAATGTTGCTTCGCCTGCTACATCTGCTGCCAGTCCTGGCACATTCGGACAAAATCAATCGATGCAACAATTTCAGCAACAACAATCTGGTGGTGGCATGAACAGTCAGATGGGTGGTTCAATCCAAAGAGGCAATCCGGGAGCTAGCCAACAACAGCCCAACTTCAATATCCCTGCACAACAACAGCAGCAGCCCAACGTGCCTGCCACATCTCAAGCACAACAAATGTTTGCCTCTTTGCCACCCCAATTGTCTAGCTTACCGGCTCATCTGCAACAACAATTGCTGCAGAATCTTATGATGCAGCAACAACACCAACAGCCAGCACAAATGACCAGTCAGCCTATGGCACCTCCTGCCGGCATGAACCCAATGATGGCGGCTATGTTTGGACAGGCTCAACATCAACAACAATCTTCACCCTCCGGAAATTTTCGTCCGGGTAACGTTGGCTTGAGTGGTAATGCAGGTCAGGCAAACGGAATGCCTAATTTGGCCAATATGTGGGCGAATATGCAACAACAACAACAACAGAACAATACCCAGTAGATTTGATAAAAGTGTACATCTAAACTTTGTGTATGAGAATGTCTTGTATTTTAATGTGTATACTGTTTTATTCTGCAAATGAATAAGGAGAAGAAAGAGCTGGTCAACAACTTGGTTCTCAATTTTTATGTTCAAATGCCGCAAATTTGCGGCTATTCAGTATTGCAGAATAGTGCTCGGTCATATTTATCGATGCGCGAACATCGTCCGACTGTTGAGCTTGAACTTTGTAATGTATTGGGTTATCATCCTAAAGATATATGTTGATGGCATACTCACTCATTATTCATCGCGATGGTGGATCAAAACGCCTAATGGCTTTGCCAATCTCCACCTGGGTAAAAGGTGTTTAAGGTATTCATTTAAGATATTCATATTGGCCTCTTTCTCACGTGCACAATTTCAGATGAGAAAAAAAAAACTCATGCGCAGCGCTGCGGATGCTGTAGGCGTGAAGTAGGGCTAAAGTGCCAAAGGGGGCATATAAGCTACAATAAGCGACGGGTTAAAAGCGCGCGCACGCAAGCATAGTGTTTAGGTGAACGGCACTTTGAGCCTGTACAGAAACGGATTCAAGAAGGATTGTCAATTCACACTTTTCTCTCATTCTTTTGATGTTACCACACCAATCCGTCATCATTTGAGAGGATTTATTCAATATGGGTCGTGTCATTCGTTCGCAAAGAAAGAGCGGTGGTATCTTCAGAAGCCATACGCATCACAACAAATCTCCTGCTAAATTGCGCAACCTCGATTTCGCAGAGAGAAATGGTTACATTCGTGGTGTTGTAAAAGAGATCATCCACGATGCTGGACGGTGAGTATCTCGAAAAGTGGAAGAATGTTTTGTTTTATTCTGTGGGCATGCGAGATGGGGTGCGGAAAAGACAACGATAGCGGCATCTGGAATCGTTGTAATGCAACAGAGTGAATGTGGATCGTCTTCAGAAGAGGTTTAACCTCTTGCGTATGATACGGGATCCTGATCACGACGTCACCTGCCACGAAGCACACACCATACATACTCTGGACCAACTTTGCACGTTGTAGAGATCCATATTCTGACAGATTTCATTCTTTTTCCCTCTCAGTGGTGCTCCTTTGGCCCGTGTTGCTTTCCGTGACCCTTACCGTTACAAGACCCGTGTTGAAACCTTCATCGCAACTGAAGGTATGTCAACCGGTCAATTCGTTTACGCTGGAAAGAAGGCTGTCGTCAACGTCGGTAACGTCTTGCCTTTGATCTCTTTGCCCGAAGGATCTATCGTCTGCAACGTTGAAAGCAAGGTTGGAGACAGAGGAACTTTGGCCCGTACATCCGGTAACTACGCCACCATTATCGGACACGATACTGATGGTAAGACCACCCGTATCCGTTTGCCATCTGGAGCCAAGAAGATCGTTCCAAGCACAAGCCGTGCCACTGTTGGTATCGTTGCCGGTGGTGGTCGTATCGATAAGCCATTGCTCAAGGCTGGTCGTGCATTCCACAAATTCAAGGTCAAGCGCAACTCTTGGCCCAAGACTCGTGGTGTTGCTATGAACCCAGTTGATCACCCTCACGGTGGTGGTAACCATCAACACATCGGTAAGGCATCTACCGTTCCTCGTGATGCTCCTCCAGGTCAAAAAGCTGGTCTCATTGCTGCTCGCCGCACTGGTCTTATCCGTGGTACAGTCTTCAAGAAGGGAGACGCATAAGTCTTTTAACGCTTTATGCATCATTCTGTTCCTTCTTTCTTGTTCCACTATTCATCACAATACCGCACAGTTAGCACATTGTATTACAAACAGTCTTTTCATACACTGTTCCAAAAGCTATACATTTATGTACATGTATGCAAGAAACAAACATTTCTCAAAAAGCATTTGTGAATGTTTGTTGTATGAAATCCATCTCTTTTTATGCTCAAAGATCAGGGGGTGCCGATTATAGAGTTTAGCCGATGGATAACTCTGAGATGACAGCTGGAACGGCCTCCCGAATCCTCTTCAATTTACGATAAGTCCCGTGATCAAAAATGTTTTTTTGTTTTGCCACGCCACGGGATATTTAAAGCGGTATTGCGTGGATGCATTGCTGGCGCGCTATAGCCATAGAAGCCAAGCGAAATCTCGAGATGCTCTCCTTAATTTGACACACAGATTCAGCCTTTTTGTCTAGTTTGTCGACGTGGAAGCATACACTTTAGCGCAAAGTACGGCAAGGGCGACGCCGCTCTTGTGCTGTCTTGCTGCTTGATTGCGTGTCTGTGTGTGTGTGTATACGTGTCAGACACACCTTAATCCGTGTGCATTGCGTGGCATACATAGCCTGCAAGCCAAAAGAAAAGACTGTTTAACTGCCTTACTCCCCGCTTATTTTTAGCTTCTTTTCCATTCCACTCAAATTGCCGTAAAACGAGAAGATTCCCTTTGGGTGAGTGTGTGTGTGTGTGTGTGCAAGAAGGGCGGGTGCGAAGAAAGCAATAAGTACTCACTCTTTTCAATCTAACCTTTCTCTCAACCAACCATCATCAAATTTGGTGAACCTATCAACATCGGTCATCTTACCTTCTCAACGCATATTTGATTGATTTGTATCAAGAATGGCTTACCCATCTCGCGGCTCAAGGCAGTCGCAAAGGGCAAACCACAAAAGAAGCATGTTTGCTTCCCTCTCTGTCGTCAACGTTTTGTTGGCATTTGTTGCTTTGTTTGCTCTGATCTCTTCCTTCACACCTACTTCTACTGGAGTAATGGCAGCTGAAGACAAACGTTCAGAATACGGAACTGTGATCGGTATTGATTTGGGTACAACGTATTCTTGTGTCGGTGTTCAACGTAAAGGTCGTGTAGAAATTATTGCAAACGATCAAGGTAACCGTATCACTCCTTCTTGGGTCGCTTTTGGCGATGATGAACGTTTGATTGGTGATGCAGCAAAGAACCAAGCTGCACAAAACCCAGAACGTACAATCTTCGATGCCAAACGTCTAATTGGTCGTGCCTGGAGCGATCCCGACGTCAAGAAAGATGCCCGTCACTTCCCCTTCAAATTGGTTGAGCGGGATGGTAAGGCTGCCATTTCTGTCGAAGTTCGTGGATCTTCCCGTACTTTCACTCCTGAAGAAATTTCTGCCATGGTCTTGCAAAAGATGAAGGAAACAGCAGAAGCTTATTTGGGTCACAAGGTTACCCATGCCGTCGTTACTGTCCCTGCTTACTTCAATGACGCTCAACGTCAAGCCACAAAGGATGCAGGTACAATCGCCGGTTTGACAGTTCTCCGTATCGTTAACGAACCCACAGCTGCAGCAATTGCATACGGTTTGGACAAGAAGGGTGACTCTCAAATCATCGTTTACGATTTGGGAGGTGGTACTTTCGATGTTTCTCTTCTGTCCATCGAAGATGGTGTGTTTGAAGTCTTGGCTACTGCTGGTGATACTCATTTGGGTGGTGAAGATTTCGATAACCGAGTTTCGGAATACATCCTCAAACAATTCAAGAAGAAGGAAGGCTTGGACGCATCTGGCAACAAACGTAGCGTGGGTAAACTTCGTCGTGAAGTTGAACGTGCAAAACGTACATTGTCAAGTCAAATGTCAACAAAGATTGAAATCGAAAGCTTCTTTGACGGAAAGGACTTGTCAGAAACATTGACTCGTGCTAAATTCGAAGAATTGAACGCAGACCTTTTCCGCAAGACAATGAAACCCGTTGAACAAGTCATTAAAGATGCTGGTGTCAAGAAGGAAGACATTGATGACGTCGTTTTGGTCGGTGGTTCTACCCGTATTCCAAAGGTTCAACAATTGTTGAAAGAATTCTTTGACGGTAAGGAACCAAGCAAAGGTATTAACCCTGACGAAGCCGTTGCATGGGGTGCAGCAGTTCAAGGAGGTGTTCTAGCTGGCGATGAAGGTGCTGCGGACGTTTTGTTGATCGATGTTAACCCTCTCACACTCGGTATTGAAACAACGGGCGGAGTGATGACCAAATTGATCCCACGTAACACCGTCATTCCTACCAAGAAGTCTCAAATCTTCAGTACTGCTGCCGACAACCAAAATGTTGTCTTGATTCAAGTATTCGAAGGTGAACGTGCATTGACATCTCAAAACCACATGTTGGGTAAATTCGAATTAACCGGTATTCCACCTGCCCCTCGAGGTGTACCTCAAATCGAAGTCACTTTCGAATTGGACGCTAACGGAATCATGAAAGTTTCCGCTGCTGATAAAGGAACGGGTAAATCCGAGAGTGTCACAATCACCAACGACAAGGGCCGTTTGACGGAAGAACAAATTCAAAAGATGGTCAAGGAAGCCGAAGAATTTGCCGAACAAGATGAAGAAGTTCGCAAGCGCATTGAAGCATTGAACTCTTTGCAAAACTTTATTGCCACAACCAAGACTACCATCAATGACAAAGAAGGATTAGGTGGTAAATTGGACAGTGACGACAAGAAGAAGATCCAAGAAGCATTGAAAGAGTCTGAAAACTGGTTGGAGGAGAACAATGCCAAGGCAGAAGCCGCAGACATTGAAGAACAACTCAGTGAATTGCAAGCTCAAATTGCACCAATCACCGCAAAGATTTACGGTGAAAGTGCTGGTGGAGCAGGTGCAGGAGCAGGTGGTGCACCAAAAGATGATGATGAGTTGAACTGGGGTGCAGGTGGTCACGATGAATTGTAGAGAGCTGCAGATCATGTCCTTTGTGAATTGCATGCAGTAGCATCCTCCCTACCATCATTTTCTCTCTTTTCAAAGCATACATTTCCATTATCATAAAATAAACATCATTTTCCCTTCACCAATCAATGTATAATCTCAATCGTGTTCTTTCAATGAAGAAAGATTCAACAGATTCTTTTTGAATGAGAGTGAGCAGCCAATAAGAAGAAAGCTAAAACAGAAATCAGCTTAGATAAGCAAGAATAAGCTTTCGCACGCGCAAAGGGTACCTAATGATGTGGAGTAAAAAGAACAGATTGCACCCTGCATCATATTGCTATCATTGAGTGATATAGTGCTGTGCTGACAAATAGTTGGTCACCTAAAGGGTTGAAGTCCATAATCTTATTTCCAATTAACATGATCTTACTGGCATTCCAACGGCCAATCATCGGCCTCCAGTTTCGGCAATTCAGTCAGTCGATCAAGGTGGAGATACCTGATGATTGTATAAGATATATAAACCTGTTCTCATCAGTCTATAATTTCCACCTTCCCCACTACCAAACATTATTCAAAATGGCTCCCGGTGAACATCTTCCAACACCAAAATTTGCAGAGGACTCTTGGGGACAAGGCGGTGTATATTCCACTGCCTTTGGTGCTCCAGTCAGTCATCCTTATGAAGTTCAACGTTCTTCTAACAATGGACCTCTTCTATTGCAAGATATCCATTTAGTCGAATTGTTATCTCATTTCGACAGAGAACGTATTCCTGAACGCGTGGTTCACGCCAAAGGGGGTGGTGCTCACGGTCACTTTAAGCTTACACATCCAATTCCTCAATTAACATGCGCAAAGGTCTTCGCTGTTCCTGGTACCGTTTGCTCTGTCACCGCTCGATTCTCTACCGTTGGTGGTGAATCAGGCAGTCCCGATGGTGAGTTGTTACTATGATGAATTATAGCAAGATGAATTTTTGAGACTAATCTTTTCGTCTCCGTCCTTCGCTCCCTCACCGCCATCATTTCTCTCGTCCCTATCAAATCATGTTTTATTGAATTGAATTGAAAAGCTGCTCGTGATCCACGAGGATTCAGTTTGAAGTTCCGCACAGAAGAAGGCAACATGGACTGGGTTTTCAACAATACTCCGATCTTCTTCATCCGTGATCCAGCAAAATTCCCAACTTTCATCCATACGCAAAAGCGTCATCCCCAAACACACGCCACTCACGGTGATGACTCCACTCAATTTTGGGAATACATGAGTCAAAACCCTGAATCGGTTCATCAATTCATGTACCTGTTCGGTCCTCGTGGTATCCCACGCAGTTGGCGTCACATGCAAGGCTACTCTGGTCATACTTTCAAGTTTGTCAACAACGACGGAGAATGGCATTATTGTCAATTCCACATTTTGTCTCAACAAGGTACTGCCAACTTCACTTCTGAAGAAGCAGGTCAACAATCTCCCGACGTTCATCAATTGGATTTGTACAACGCAATTGAAAAGGGCGATTATCCAAAGTGGGACATTAAATACCAATTGGCCACTCAAGCTGAAGCAGATGCAGCCGGCTTAGACGTCTTCGATCTAACCCGTACTTGGGATCGTAAGAAGTTCCCATTGAAGCCATTAGGTGAATTGGAGTTGAACCAAAATGTTGCAAATTACTTTGCCGAGATTGAGCAAGTTGCTTTTGCACCATCAACTCTTGTGCCTGGAATTGAGCCAAGTGCCGATCCAGTCTTGCAAAGTCGTTTGTTCAGTTATCACGATACCCATCGTCATCGTGTCGGAACCAATTATCAACAATTGCCGGTTAACCGTCCTCAAGTACCATACCACATGTACAATATGCAACGTGATGGTCAAATGGCTTTTGAAAATCAAGGTGGACGTCCACTTCATCTATCTTCCATCAATCCACCAACGCTCAAGCCTCGTGCTTACGAGCTAGCCAAGAGTGCCGGCGGCGGTGGCCCAGCAATCAATTTCTTGTCTGGAGTCACTTCTAAAGACTTTGAACAACCTCGCGAATTGTACAGAAGAGTATTCAGCGAACAAGACCGTGAGAACATCAAGGGCGAAATCAGTGGACATATGAGCACTTCGCGCGACAAGCAAAGTATCACTCAAGCCATCAATATCTGGTGGTTGGTCGATGAAGATTTAGGGAACACTCTTGCAAAGAACCTCAAGTTAGAGCAAGGTTCATGGCAGAAGCCATTAAAGGAACTCAAATTCATTGGTTCGCACAACTTTGAGGCAAATGCTGATGCTTTGAGTATGTTGGAAACATATAAATCATCCAAGCAAAAGGCAGCTGAAAAGGCAGGCGATTTCACTTCTGCAGCTAAAGAGTCAGTTGCAAATGGTGTCAAAGCCGCAGCTGATCTTATCAACGGTAAACCAGCCCACACAAATGGAACTGCCGTCAATGGTATCAATGGTCATTAGATGATCATCCCACGAAACGATAAATATATGATATTGAATAATAAATACGCTTTATGATATGTTTGATAAAAGAGAAATTAATCTCTGTACTGGTCTTCCCGTATGCGTGTCCGCCAATCTCTTTTCTGCCAATACCAAATCGCACCATGAATGAAGATGATCTAGCCAAATACACAAACCCGCCTCTAGAGTGGATAAATGATTGTACATTTCAATTGTCGATCTGTCCTGCTTATGTGAAAATTGACGGTGCAAAACCACAATCCTGGCAATCTCAGAAGAGGGAGTAGACTTCAACAATCCTTCCAACCTTTTTGCAGAAGACATGATTGTACGTATTTGACGAGTTTCTTCATTCCTTTGTGCAATTTTATTAAGTTTCTTCCTTTGAGATGGAGAGGCGGGTACTGCTTCCATCACTTCTTCCATTCTCTCAACTTCAGGTAATTCTATCATTTGTGAAGATGTAGAGAATATTGCTTGCCAAGCATCCAATGCTGTACAAAGTGCAGTTGTTGCTAGATTTTGAGCCTTTTTTCGTTCGTAATAACGTTTACTCTTTTGTCGATTTTGCTCATCTCTGACCGTAGTTCTATCTATAATTGATGATGCAAGACTATTTGATCTTTCCCGTCTGAGAGCGTTTGATGCTGTTTGTTCTACCATGCTGCCCATTAAAGTTTCATCAGAAGAATAAGGTCGAACGGGAAGTGGTGGTGTACAATCAAAACTTGCGATTTTATGTCTCACGTATAATGATGAAGCATCTGCATGTGATCGATGTCTTTTTATGGCTCTTGGTTTATGTGAAACCGAATTTGTGGTGTGCAATGAATCGCTTCTACATTGTCGGCTATTTATCGATGGCCCTTGCTCATCCTGAATGCTGAAGTAATAATCCATCACATCTTCAAACGTCTTGGATTGACGACGTTTTTCCACCCTTTTGATCGGTTCAATTCCTACTTGTCCGGTCACCTCTGTGTACAACTGACGTTGGATAACTTCACTGGATCCCACTTCTACTGGATCATTTCTTTCATAGGGAAAAGAATGCAAACTTGTTGAATTTGTCAAAATTGTTGATTGCATGTTCCACTCCTGTCGCGATGATAGCGATTCCATAAAACCTACTTCTGCCATTGTGGAATTTATACCTTGATGTATTTCTGTTGCTTTACACGGATCGAATAATCCTAGCATATTTTCCTGCTGAATTTCGCTACTTTCCAAATATTGGGTAGGCAGTACGATCATATCCGCCAAATCACTCAAACTTTGAGGGTAATTTGCATAATCTTGCTCAGAAGAACAATTTTTGGTTGAGGAAGTAAAGCCTAGATTGAAATCTTCAAATCTATATGGCTTGAGAAAATCTTGATCAGCTTGCGATGATTGCTGATCTTGATTGTTGTCTGATAACGTTGAAAGTATTGTAAGTGGGGAAATATGAATTTCCGAAAGTGCAGGTGAGGTGATGTTACTGTCCGTAGAGGGAATAAGCGATGGTAGAGTAGAAAGAGAAGCAAGCCAATTGTTCGTGTAATCACTTTTATTATTGTTAAATGAGAGATGATGTATGGACGAATTGAGTTGACTTTTATCGTTTAAAGGCTGTGGATATCCATTTGTGTCTCTTGTTGCCGAATCGCCAAAAATTAATGCGCCGTCCTCGATTGAGCCGGTGAGGAAAAGTGAAGTCATTGTAAGAAGTTTATTAAGCTCTTAAATTAATGTAAAAAACTCAACGTAGAAAGATATGGGCGATGTGAGGTTTTGGTAAAATGATGTCAGATACTTTTATACCCAAGGTAGTTTGGTAATGAATAATGCAAGAGTCATAAAAACGACTATGCGTATGGCGTAAATAGGTAAACAATAAGCATGTCTCCTTAGAAGTTGGTAAGAACACGATCAGAATTGGCCAAATTAAATTTCTCGGGGATTTCCTGCACACATCAGAACTGCAGTAAAGCACTTGATCAATCGAAAAGCCACCGATGAAAAATCTGGGAACATTGGACATTGTACTTGTTTACAATTTGTGTATTGTGTATGGACCAACAGTTTGTCTGAGTCTGAAATAGGTAATTTTATTCGCCTTCTGAAATCTTGTTAAAACGTTGCTTTTACTTACCTGGAGCTTATGAAGAATAAAGATGAATACCGATGAAATAAGTATACATTTGAGACGTCAGAAGCGGAGTGAATATCGTGCATAGAGCGGAACCGGTGATTTTAATTGAAAAGATGGAATCTTTCTCACGCACGATTCCGTATAGTGCATTGTTCTCTTGATTAGGAAGTCTATTTGTAATCGTGTACCATGCGTCGATCTATGAATGTATGTAAATCAAAAGCCACAATGAAGACAATAAAAGCCACAACAAGGGTCAACGTTTTCTTGGAAGCGTATGCAATCTTGAAACACCCGTACGCCCTGTGCTGCGCTGCGCTGCGCCTTTGCTGTTCCTGCAGAATGGAACGCGTCAATGAGCCGAGCCTTCGCGCGCTGCGCGCCGTAGAACACCCCTATGAATCAACCTTCCATTTTCGGCAATTTTGTATTAAATGAAAATGACAGAGATATTCTCGGCATTGTATTTTGTATCTTTCGTTCCGGAAGCAGATTAATAGAAATTGTATATTCAGATCGATCGGCGAATTTCAATCTAAAGTTTGCATTTCAGGCACCGATTGATGTTCTTTGCCGTAAGAATGATATCACTGACTGGCTTTTTGCTGACATTAATGACAGGGTAGAACAATAAAAGCATTCCGGAAAAACACTTCAGCTGAGATGTTTCAGGAACAAGAACAATGGATGTACAAGAAATTGGCACATTGCATCTTTGTACGCCGTTGGTCTAAATAAAATAGAGCTACAATCCATAACTTTTGATCGACGATATTGTATTATTTACCTCAGCTACTAAAGAGTCTAAGAACTGTCTCTTCTCATCGAACAATAACGGGTCGTTCCGCTCACAGTACCATTACTAAATTCTTACCACTCATGTCACTGATAGACGCTTTTGGCATGCGAAGTTTATAGATCAGTGGGGCGAATGTTGACGTGCATAAGGTACAAGAAAGTATATCCGAAGAAGCATCAACATAGCATCAAGCGCTTAGATGTAATGGCAAAGGGGAAAGTGAAATTGTAAGGAATGTTCGAATTTACATGAGTCTTTATCACCTCAAATTGTTATCACAATTAGCCACAGATACGCATGTGAGAATAGGATAGGAAAAAGTAAGAATCGATAGATATTTCATCAATGTAATAATATCAGAACTTCCATGGCCATATACACAATGCATTCCAAATTTTTTTTCTTGAAGTATATAAACCTCAACATCAGTGGCAATGCAAGATGAAATTCTTTGAAGCTTGCACACCTGGTCATCAGCTTTACCAATTCCTCGTCATGGCTGCCTTGAAACAACAACAAGCACCAATCCTCAACATGTCATCACTTGGCTTGATTAACAAAGTTACAGATGATTCGCAATTGACCTCTGAGGTGAGCTTTCACGGTTCTAAGGAGACTTGTAGCATGCTAATAATAAATCGTATTTTCTTTTTCCAATACCAAGCTCTCTGATATTCGCAGTCAGCTCAATATGCTTACTGAAATTTGCAAATCAATTTTACTGACAAATCGAGCAAGTACTCCTTTCAATTTTGCTAATTCGCCTCCTGCATACAAGTCGCCTCTCAACACACCCAAAGCACGAGCGTTGACTTTGAGTTCCTCAGTGCCATTAAAGGAAGATAATATAAAGACAAGATTCGACCTTCCAAATTTATGGTGCGTGGTTCCTGCAGGAGGTTCAGGAACTCGTTTATGGCCCTTAAGTAGAGATTCAACGCCTAAATTCTTGTTGGATCTAGAAGGTAGTGGGGATACGCTTTTACAAAGTACAGTGAAAAGGTTAAACGCACTTACGCCGAACAAAAGAACCATTATTGTCACTGGAAAAAAACACAAAGAAAGTGTTTTAACACAATTATCAGAGCTTCCAACTTCCAACATTTTGAGCGAGCCATGCCCAAAAGACAGCATGGCAGCTTTAGCGTTAGCAGCTGCAGAAATTGCACAAAAAGACGAAGAAGCAGTCATTGCATCATTTCCAGCCGACCATCTCATTCGAACGGCTGATGACAATTTCTACGAAGCAGTTATAAAGGCATATGAAATTGCAAAACAATCGGACAGACTTGTCACAATCGGCTTGCATCCGACATTTGCTTCAACTGCCTTTGGATATATTCACAAAGGGTCAATCATCGAACAACAAGGTGAAGCGGATATACACACCGTCAATTCGTTTAAAGAAAAGCCGAATGAATCTTTGGCTGCTGAATTTATTGCAAGTGGAACATACGTTTGGAATGCAGGGATGTTTGTTTGTAAGGCAAGCACCTTGTTGCAAATGCTTCAAGAACATCACAATGAACTTTTTACCGGAATCACTGAGATCTCTCGTCTTTTTACAGAGAGTAAAAATAAACAAGGCTTGCAAAAAGAAGCGATAGACAGACAAATTGATCAAGCCTGGAATAATCTTCCCGCAATCTCAATTGACCATGCGATCGCTGAACCGGTAGCCGCGCAAAATCGAATGGCTGTAGTATGTGCAAGTCTTGATTGGAAAGATGTGGGCGATTTTGCTTCTCTTTCGGAAATTCATAGCTCGGGAACTGATGATATTCGTGTATTAGGCGATGTGAATTTGGTTCAAGCAACAGAATCCTCTGGGTTTTTCGTTCCAGGCTCCAGGCGTTTAATTGCTTGTCATGGTTTAAAGGACGTGGCAATCATTGATACGCCTGACGCTCTTTTGGTCACCACCACAGCCGAGGCTCAAAATATTAAAAAATTGGTGGGCAAATGCAAAAAAGCGTTTGAACACGTTTCTTGATACTTTTTCTTTGTTCTGTACCTTCTTGCTTGCATATAGACATTCTTCTTGGTTTGAATAAAATATCGTTGTAGATTCTACCCTTATAGCAATTAATAGACCAACATGGGTCCTGATACAAACATTTGCAATCGGTATCCCAGTTCCGACTTTCCTACACCTCATCAAAATATAACGAATATTATTCGTATTTCTACGTCACGGATATATTGGTGCAAAAGTATGTCATAAATTCTATTGAGACTGTAATACACAAGTAGATATGGATAGAATACTACTAGAAGCTATTAGGCAAAAAGCTAGCAACCAATGCTTTTCCAATCAACAATGAGCCCATTTCGACAAAGATCTTGAATGGAATCGCTAATGCGACTGTGATGAATAAAGTACTTGCCCATAGCTTGAATATCAATGTGGTATTATGTCCATTGATATCGACAAAAGAAGATTTGAATAAGTGCGGTAAGATTCCGTAAATGACAATCGGATGCAATACCACTAATCCAGCCGAAAGATGTCGACCAAGAATAGCCAAAGACTTTGTGCAGACACCCACCTTGGCTGGCTGCAAAGATTCTGCCAAAAACACGAGCATTGCTGCCGATAAACAATCACTAAAACGCAACCAATGGTAGCCTTGCGTTGTTTCTGGTTTATTTGCGACACCATAAAATGTTTGAAGTTTGTCGAAGCCATCTGACAAATTATCGCGTATAACGGGTATAAATAGCAACAGAGTCAAAAGGGCAGCATTGCATAATATGACTAAGAATGACTTTTTCGAGCCTAAAACTTTTGGCGAAGAACTATTTTTGAATAATCTGATAGCCACTTTGGATTCTTGCAAGTCCGCCAGCAGAAGTCCAAGCATGACAGGAAACAGAAAAGTGTATGTTGTCCAATTCATGAGAGCCAAGAAGATAAATAAAAATGTTCTTGATGAAGTTCGAAAAATGGCAGTTAGGGAAGCAATTCCAAGTGCGTAAAATGATGCTTGAAAAAGAAGTGGTGATTGATAAAGCATACCTGTTTGATAGATCAATACTGAAGAATTGTTTTCGGTAAAGAGGCTGATAATGCGTGTGATCAAGCTATTAGCGGAATTTGGAGTACACCATTGATCACGATAGCCTTGATCGAATAGATAAGAGAACCCGTTTGAGAACGCAGGGCCACTTTGACATGTCTTGCGCTGGAGTAGCTGTACCACGATGATCGGTAAAAAGAACCGGAATGGTCGAAGGAGTAAAGACTGTCCCATTCTATAAACAGCCGACTGTGAAAGACCGGGATCTATCTTATCTTGCTCTGCTTTTAATTTTTGCGGTACGACCCATCCAGATACAAAAGCTCTTCCGATCAGAACAAAGAAAATGTTGAACCCCCATTGTGAACGAATTGGATAAAGCAATGAATTTGCAAATTGCCAGTCACTCGACGTATACACGATTACAGACGACGTTAAAAGGCTTATTGCAGCAATCAGACGCACTATATCTGTACTCCAAAGTCGATTTTGAGGCTCCCCTTTGCCAACAGACCAAGTGAATTTGAAAAGTTTGGTCGTGGGTAAATGAAAGAATGACTTCCGTCTGTTCTTTTTTGGATATTCTTCTTGTTGAGTTTCGAGTGCATCGATCGAGACGTGATTAAGGTCAATGTTTGATTTATCTTCCATCTTGTCATTCTCAGTTATTCCTTCTATGAAAGAAGTTTTTATCCTGAAAGAATCATTTTGGCATAAGATCGGAAGAGGTACCTTGTATTCTTCAATTTCGTAGTTTTTGGAAGTCATATTCAAAGGAAATGTTCCAGAGCTGGGATATTTACCTTTTTTTTTCTATAAAGAGGATATAAGTGCTCTGTATTTATACTTTATCCTTTTCAAACCTGCTTCACGCTCAATATATGCCTCTGCAAGCAATTTTCTATACAGCTGACTACATGTCGACCCTACCAATGAATTTCTATGATATTTTTGTTATAGCTAATAATGATCTTACCATTTTATTATTTATTTTTCGCTAATAAATCAGAACTATTATCCTGATTGACATCAAGGGTCCTCTATTCTGACAAAATCAGCAAGAATTGTAAGCGATTGTATTGTTCTCGATTATCGAACTCATTCTTCCGTATCATTCTTACCATATACTCACTCAAGATTTCAACGTTCGGTCACTCTTCGCTACGCTGCGCATACGAATACCTTTGTATCGGTTAAAGTAAGCGCGGCACACTGCGCGCGTCTTTGAATGATCGGCGACTAAAGCCTCTGCATGCAAGCCAAGGATTATTGCCGCTTATAGACAGGCACTTTTATAACGCGTAAATATTCTTACCATTCTTATACCTCCTTACCCTCAACCGCATCCATCTAAGGAATACAATCAGTGCAAGATAAAGTGTGTTCTTATCGATTTCGTGGCTTTTTTAAACATCTTTTGGTACCTGCAGAAAAGAAAAAGATAGAAGATGATAATTGTGTTTGCAATAGTATAAATATAGATACGAATCTCTTTGCTTCTCAGATTACTTTAAGCCCATAGCCCATATCTCAAAATGAAGCAAGGCAAAAATATAGAAGAGTTAGTAGAAAGTCTATCTCTCAATTCCAGCTTAGATGAGAGACAGCCGGATCAACAAACGAACCAAAACCCATGCAACCCAGATTGCTATGCGGAAGAACTTCTTGAAGAAAATCAACAACCTGATGAGCTAGACGTTCCGATAAATTCCAGCTTATTCTCCCCTCTTCCTTCAGAGTACGGCTTGACAGCATCAGAAACGCAAAAATCGGGTAAACGTGTTATACCGCCTTTTTCACCATCTCCCTCGTATAACAAAATAAATCTCGAAATTAATGAAAATAAACAAAGAGATTCTCAATTACTTTCTCCTTCTCAATCACTAAAGACGCTCATCCAATCTCCTACGGAATCGTTCAAGACATTGAATTACTCTCCTGCAAACTTACTCGGCTCTTTACCAGAAGTTCCATACAACGAGTTCAGGAGAAAAATACCTACAGACTCGTCTTACTCGTCAACACCTTTTTCCGGATCCATTAAAGATGTGTACTTCACTTCTCCCAGTCTTACCATCAATGAGATCAAAGAAGAGGAGAAAAATAACATTGACCCTACTCCTTTATCGTCACCAAAACTTGTTCCGGACGAAAAGCAATCAAAAAAAATTGCAAACGATGAAAAGCCATTCGTTGAAGGCTCGACGAGGTATATTGATGGAATTCGAGGCTTAGCAATGATTATGGTCTTTAATCAACATTTTTCATCCGCAACATGGCTAACTTCACATCCCCTGGTATGGCAAACAGGTACTGCACCAGAAATTTTACGCTCAAAGATTGGTTTGTTTTTATTCTTTCTCATTTCTGGACGTCTGAACGTAACTTCTTTCTTTCGTAGTAAAGCTGCAAATAAGCCTGTCAACTGGTCTTCCTTGCCAGATGGAATGCTTAGACGAACGATTCGTCTGGCGTTTCTAACTTCTATTGCTTTACTATTACAAAAATTAGAGTGTGGACTTGGTGCATTTTACCCGACAATGGACGCAGAAGTGATTCTTCAAAGTCAAGGAACTTTATGGTATCCGAGTTGGTGTTCATTAACACAGGATAGTCAAGGGAGAGTGATAGGAACCTCGACCTCCGTTTCAGATTTCTTATCGTCTCTGGTACGTATATTCACCAGCTTTGATAACCAACAACAGTTGAACGATAACAGTATGCTATGGACTATGCCTTTGCAATTATGGGGAATGTTGTATGTCATGATGTGCATGCCAATCGTGATCAATCTGAACGCTCCCAGAAGATTTATCTTTTACGCAATCATGATCGTTCTTCTCGGATTCACTTATTCTCAATATCTAACCTTCTTTATCGGAATGGTAGTGGCCGATTTGCGTGCTTCAGGCTTGATCAAGAAGCTACAACATCGCTCGAGGATTGCTTTCTTATCTGTGGAACTACTTTTGGCAGCAACGTTCTTCGTCTTTTTGTGTTACAATACCATCGAAGGCTCAATCGTTCGCGCAATCTCTCCAACAACATTTGATCGAGGCGTGATGGGAGTGGATACACAAGAGGATGATTTTGCAAGGCAACCTATGGTTCTATTTCGCGCTTCACTTCTTTATATTTGGCTAGAAATGTCGGTCACTTTACAGTTCTTGGTTGACAACTTTTTTTTACGAGCGATTGGAAGAGTAGGATTTGGATTCTATGTTTCACAAATGTCGGTGCTTTATCTTGTCATTCCTCCAATGGTTTCAAAGTACCATGAAAGTGGTGATCTATATTGGAACGGTATCATTTGCACTTGGCTCGCTTGTTTTACCACAAATTACGTTGTAGCTTGGATCTTAACCAAAACTGTTGACAGAATGGGTCAAATATTTTCTACATGGATATCGAAAACAATGGCAAGAGAAGGCTTTATCGGCTTGATTCGAGAAGGATTGAAAAATACTTTCAATGCGATATGCTATCTTCCGCGATTATGTACAACTGATTTTGCCAAATCAGTCTCCAGTAAAGGATCCAAGACAAGAAGCTTCTGTCATAAAGTTGCTAATTGGAGAACGCCGGTGCCAATTGTCCCGCCTCCTGAACATCCACTTCATTATGGATTGAATCAAAACGAGTTACACTCCACTTTGTTCGATGCTGATATCTCTAATGATGAACAAGCCGTTCGAACAAGGAAAGTTCTTCGTATTTGGTCCTACATGGCACCAATCAATGCTTTAATCATTTCTGGCATTGCCTTAACCTGGGGGTTACTCAATCCTTGGCATGGATTCACAACCAAGAATGTGGTATCATTCAGCGCAATATGGCGGGCTATGTGGTTGTTTGCCGTTCCATATTGCATTATCACTTTTATCGGTTTTGCAACGCCTGATATCACCAGAACGCCCGAACAACAGAAGAAACAACCGGTCAAAAGAGAATTTATCCGAAACTTCTACATTCTTTCAGTCACAAGAGGTAGCAACCCAGAAGCCACGAGAAGAGCACACTCGAAATTGAAGAAACTGGAGCAATACCATCCTGCCGTGCGTGTTTGCGTTTTGACCGATGAACCGTATGTTTATCCCGATTTGGATAACATCGTTTGTCCAAAAAGCTACGTTTCTCCAAAAGGCTTGGCAAAACACAAAGCCAGAGCTCTTGACTACTTCCGCCATACGATGCAATTAGGACCGTACGATTTCGTTTTGCACATGGACGAAGAATCAACAATGGACGCAGAATCACTTCGTGGCTGTTTCGATTTTGTACGTTACACCACTCATCATATGGGTCAAGGAATCATCATTTATAATGGTCACAATTATTGGGCAAATTGGAAAGCTTGGCTATTTGCTGTGGCTGATACTATTCGTGTTGGAGATGATTTGGCGCGCTTTTCACTTCAAACAAATGTTATCCATCGTCCCGTTTTTGGCATCCATGGTAGCTTTTTGCTGCTCAATGGAGAAGCTGAGAATGTGGTGGGTTGGGATTTCTCAAGTTTAGCAGAAGATTTCGAGTTCAGTCAAGCTGCATGGATGAAAGGCTTCACTCTCGGTCGTATTCATGGTGTTGTACGAGAACAATCACCCGAGGGATTTCAAGATATGCTTAAACAAAGAAGACGTTGGTACATGGGCATCCGTCAAATCAGAGGAGTGTATTATCTTCCACAATTGGGCATCAAATTGTGGACTTTGGGTTTGTTCTGTCTGGTTGCAACGGTTGCCAATTTGCTTTTTTCACTCTTGATACAATGGTCAGGTCCATCACCGATGTGGATTTATACTTTGAGCGTTTTCTGTTTTGGTGCATTTCAATGGCTCTATTCAGGTGGTCTGCTATTTCAAGAAATGGATTACGGCTATAAATTACGAGATGCATGGCAAGTGCCCCTACACTTTCTCGCCCTCATCGTCATTCAGCCATTCATGGCAGCTGTTGAAGCTTGTGCTGTTGTTTGGGCAATGTCTACCGAAGATGGAGAAGTTGGCTTCCAAGTGGTGAAAAAGTGAAGATGCAATCGTACTGTACAATAGGTGTAAATGACATTTTGCTAAACTTCTCTTCCCGTGCTGATACTGAATCGACTCCATCGTCTAAGCTGTTACTTCAATGAGTGAAGTGCGACCGACTGTACGTGATAGAAACAGAATTATGATCCAGCGTCTATCTCTTCCTGTACGGTAACCGTACTTTGCTTCGGGATTAGAGAGCAGATCCCGTAGGTGAGGCAAATGAAGATCCCTACAGAACTACAACGCAACCATTGAACGCTCTCCCGGGTCAATACTATTTTTGTCAAGAATCTTGAGCTTTCTTTGAGGAAGGAGGATAAGACGGAAAAGGAGATGAGGTTAAAATGGTACAGCGAAGACGGAGATGGAGTAACATTGTCAACGAAAGAAGCTGAAATACAGGAAAAGATGCTTCACAGTTGTCTGCCTTCTTCCTTACGTGCTCCATTGCAGAAACAACTATGATGTTGAACGACAGGTCATGGACGATATCAAGTGGGACATGCAGGTCCCGCGCGCAGTAAGATGGGTAGTTATGACCTTAGTAAAGTTTCCCAATTTGAGCCATAAGTCGTATTGTAGTGTATCATAAATTTCAAAAAGATGTACTCTATTCACGCATCAATCGGATGTGTTCTTCTCGTGATCAAATTCAATACAAAGATCTGTTTTCGCTATTATAACATCTACTTAGATTTTCAACATTCTACTTTTTCCCAAACAATGTCTCTGGATCTTGACAAACAGACAATGCTCTACGTAACTTGGTATCGAGGAAAGTTAAGCCGACTTGGAAGGATGCATTCGTCCAACCAAATCCTTCTTTGACGACGTACTTGAAATCGATACCTTGGTTACCATATTCTGCATCGACCATATGAGAAAGTTTAACGGCATCAAACTTTTCCGGTACTAAACCATTGAAATCCACAACTGCCACCGTGATCATATACAACCAACGATATACCAATCGTCTCGCTTCTTCCACATATCCGTATCTTTCCATTCCTACCCAAGTGAGCATTTGGTGTGGTGGCCATGCAAACGGATAATCCCATTGTCGATTAGGGCGATCGAGAGATATTTTGCCTCGCGAATCTTCCGTTCCGGGTACGAGACCTCCGACAACTTCGAACTTCTTCAGACTCTTGCGTACCATTAAATCTGCTTGTCTTTCGCTTGCCAAACCGGCCCACATTGCCCAAAATGCAGTGACTGATTCATAAACGCTTTGTTCTTCCCTCACCGTGTCGTAATCATAGTATAAAGCCATGCCTTCGTTCCAGCAATATTTGTCAACTTGCTTCTTACGGAATGCTGCTCGTGCGAACCATTCGGCAGACGTTTGAGGTGTTTCAATCGATCGCGAAGGCTTGTCGGGCTGCGGCATGTCATCGGGTAATGGAGCATGCATGACAAAGTCTTCTACCAATTCCAATCGATCATCGAACAATTCCCTGATCGCTGTACCGATATCGACTTCATACTTGTAGAGAAGAGCATTCAAATCAATGGTAGCCAGATTTGCGCATCTTTTTTCGAATCTGTACGTAGTATCGTGACCACTTTCACGTACAGCGCGATCGTGCATAAAGTACTCGTCCAATTCTTCACTTTGAATTTCGCCATCGTTGTATTTGCGTGTGAATTCGTTCACGCTGCAACCATACTTTTCTGCATATGGGCGCAAGATATGGGTAAAATGACTTGCTTCCGTTTCAGGTGGAACACCGCGTCCTTCAGGTCGATATCTGCTCAAGCCAGTCTTGCGATCAAGACGTGGTTCTGCCATCCAAACGGTGTGATACTCCTTGATTGCTGCTCGCATTGCTTTGAGCAACCATTGTTTATTCTCTTCCTCTTTATTGTGATCCAAGCGGGAATAAACTTGCAGAGCCATATCTGTCAAGAAGGGAGGTTGAGCTCGCATCAAATAGTAGGAACGATTTCCATTCAACACCTTGTGATAATGCTTGATGTTGAAGATGAAATGTTCTACAATGCCTTTTGCCATATCAACCATATCATCAACCACTAAACCAAGCGAAATGAAATAACTATCCCAATTGTACAATTCGTTGAATCGAGCACCCGGGACAATGAAAGGAATTCCCTGTAACCTTTCTTTGCCATCTTTGTCACTTTCCTTTCTCATAGCCAAAGCCAAGAGGCCGGGTTTATCGTTCAAATCACGAGTATAGTCGGCAGTGATGTCTTTTGGGAGAAGCTCTACTTGCAAATTCATTGCTGGTCTTTCGGCAGCCACTTGTTTGTAGTATTCGAACATTTCTGGCTCACCGCTGGGAACATAAATGCGTGGATTGCGTGACTTGCTTCGGTTCTTTGGGTCTGCCAAGATGGCTTCCAAACCGTCTGCATCGATTCTGCGGGTAAGATTATGCCAAAACGTTTGTGAGATCATGCGTGAAAGACGATCGACTGGATTTTCCGTCAGCCTCGACTCGTCGAGCATGATACGCTTGCGACCATGCTCGCGAGCGATGGCCAATTCTTGTAGCAAGTTGGAAAGCATATATGTACCACGAATATCGAAACCTTTGTAGCCGTTACTTGTTGCAGTACCCAAATTGAACACTTTTGGTCCGCTATCGGTGATACTGATTTGGAAATTGCCATCTGTATCTTCTTGTTCCAGGATCATTCGCATCGTATCTTCCACATCCACGATGAATCTGCGTGGTGCATCAGGTATAGCATCATGACTTAATCTTCTTTGACGGATGATACGATCATCGTTCATGATGACTGGACGTCTTTTTTGCTGACCCATACTGTAAGTACGAATGATACCTCGACGTCTACCTGTGAAGGGATGTGCATCACCAGTAAAGCTAGAACTTCTCGAATTTGGCATGGATCCATCTGTGCCATCTTGATCTTGCGAATATAACTTATCCGGATCTGTGATACCATCTTTGTTCACGTGTCTCTGATTGCCGCCTGCAGGCTTCAATGTTGGTTTGAATGGCAAACCTTCAGGGACATGATCGGAAGGTGAAGCATGGCTTGCTAATTCAAACGTGCCTGTTCCAGTGCCTGTTGCTGATCCCAATTTAGACTCTTCACCACTTGGTACACGGAATGGGATAGGTTCTTCATCCTCTTCTTCATCAATCGTACCTGAGCCATGCGAGCCGATTGAAGCATTGCGGAAACGTCCAATTAAAGCATTTACTGGAGAAATTGCAGAAATGGTAGCAGTATTTGCAGTTGCTGGAGGAGAAGAAGCTGCTTCATCTGCTGCATCTTGATTTTTTGTGAATGGATTTGACATTCTTTTCCAAGTTGGAGGCGGTGTTTTTTCAGTATTTTGACTCATGATTAAAATGAGCGGGATGATGGAAGTGAAAGAGAGAAAAGAGGAGAGGCGGGGTATTCCTTCATATGCCACGTAAAGGTAGAAAATAGTCATGCACGAGAGGGCTAAAGATACGCCGAAATCAAACCGAGACAAAGGTCAGTGCGTGCGCTGCGTGCCTCTTTAACTCGCACCACGCCTCTTCTTTGACGCCGTAGAGGAATGCGGAGGCAAAAGTTGCAAACAACCTTAAAACGCGTACTTTTTGAATCAACACTTTTTTATATGCATACAACCAACACCATCATCATGTCAAGTGTAAGTGATAATCAATCAAACAATATTCAATTGGCTTTGCTGATAGCTGAAATGATCACATCTTTCATCACTCTTTCAGTTTGCCGAATTGCAGGCGCTGGCCGCCGAGCGATCTAGGATTGCCGAAGAAAGAAAGATGGTCGAACGGGTAAAACGTCAGCAAGAAGAAAAGGAGAAAAAAGCAGCAGCTGAGGCAATGGAAAGGGAAAGAGCAAAAAGACAACGAGAAGCATTGATTGATCAAGATAAAAGAAGAAGAGAGCAAATTGAAGCAAAACGGCGAGAAGCAGAAATGAAAGAAGAACGAACGAAAAGATTAGAACAGGAGCGAAAAGAGGCTTTACTGAAGAAGAATCAACAAGGTACGGATATGAGAAAGTTTGCTCGTGCCAGTGATAAAGCAATTCGTCGTGCAAGCGGAGGAAGGAGCAGTATGAATGGTCAAAGTCGTAAACGCGATACTGTACAGGAAGATGAAGATGGCTTCTTGCATGGCAGCAGCGGAAGCACATTAACCAGAGAAGAGAAACGACAAAAAAGACAAATGGCACTGTTGGGTCTGGGTCCTAGCACAATAAAGAAAAAGATGTCAAAACCTCAAAACAAAGCTGCACATAACTTTAATGGAGGTGAATTTATCGCATTAGGAACGGTCAAAAGAGATCGACGTACGATTGATGAGATTGAACGAGATTTGGACGCTCGAAAGGGTAAAGTAACACCATCATCATCGGGACAAGCTGCACAAACGCTGCCTGTATTACCACATGTGCAGGAAAAGCAAAAGCTGAAAATTTTGGAGCAACAAAGAAAGAATGCGATGGGACTTTCACCAGCTGATTATTTACCGGGAGCACCAGTACGAGCTGATTTAGTGGCAAAAGCAAAGGCGAAGGAGACAAGAATAAAGCCGAAGCCAGAAGGTAGCGCAAAAAAGAGAGAAAAAGTCGAAGAGCCCCCTGCGATCAAGCGAAGAGAGACTGCTAGAGATCGATTCTTACGCGAAGAAGAGGAGCGCAGGCGAGAAAGACAAAAGCACTCCAGTCAAAAGTACGAAGAGGACGATGATGAGAGCGAAGAAGAAGAGGAGGAGGAGGAGGATGAAGACGAATATGAAAGCGAAGGAATTGATGATGGACCAGATCAATCAAATATTCGAGATCAAATTTGGCAAATATTTGGTCGAAAGAGAAGTGCATATATGAACAAGGATCTCGATGAAAGCGATGATGACATGGAAGCGGATATGCAAAGCGTTGCAAGGGAAGAAGCAAGAAGTGCAAGACTTGCAAGATTAGAAGATGAACGGGAAGAAAAGGAACAACGGAAGAGGGAACAAGAGAAAGCAGCAAAGAAAGCAGCACGCTCGCGAAGGATAGAATAAGGAAGCTTGTAACGGTATTTCATATAGACATTATTCTCTTACAAGGACAATTCATATGCCTAAATTCGATTTTCAGATGACAAGTCATTCTGAATGTTCAGATGTTGATTGAGGTTGACTTCCTTATGAATAGGAGGCGGCAAGGAGATCTTATAGCTTGTTTTTATGTGCCTATCTTTTACTGCATTCAGATAGCGCTAAATTAGATTTCGCATTGCAGTGCAGGGCAGTGCAGTGCTTTGCATCGATAAACAGTGCAGTATGGGGCGGGAGATAGCCAATCCTGAGAGAAGGGACAGACTTTGGAGGACTTACGAAAAGATGGAATTACTCAAGTGATTTGAGCCTATTGGGAAGAATACAAACGCATTCCACCTCAACAGCAACGGTATGGTACAAGAACTATAGATGATCTCGGGGCCGATGTGAGTACAAGTAGACTAAAGTGCTGTCAATTATACAAGTTAATCAATCTCCTTTGGCAGCGAGGATCTAGCTTAGAAAGACTAAAGAGCAAATGTAACCTTTTGAGATGAACATGTGGTAAGAATAGGTTAAGAGAACTTTTCCTCAAAGGCCGAGTACACTATATTAAACTCGCATGACCAGGGTTCGAATGATGACAGCGAATAGACGGAAAGTGAGAAGCCGAACGTGCATGTGTATGCGAACCACTTGCACTGCCACTGCAAGGGAATCGAATTGCGAATGGTAAACTTTTCCCCGAATAACCTTAATCGATTTCAACAAGAAGCTGATATAATGTTGATCAATTTAAGTTATAGTTGCAGTTTTGATATGCAATGTCTGCTAGGCATTCTCATTAAAATCTGCACTAATTGACCCAAATTGGAAAGAAGAATGGAATAGATTTTCACCCAACATTGGACTTTATAAACCTTATTCCAAAGGATTAAAAGGAGGAGTGTCTCCTCCTCCCTCTTACGCGCGCGTTTAAATTGAATACCGTGTAAATTGATTCGACGTGCATATTCTTCGTCCAGGCACAAAACCGAGAACTTAAATCTGAAACAATAAACAGTCTTTAAGCCGGAATTTTGTGCGATCGTAAGAGGAAGAAGGATTACTTGATCGAATTGAAGTTTATAATCGATCAAAAGAATAACAAGCTTGAGAGAATACAAAAGGGTGAAATTATAACACTGCAAAATGTCAGGGACTAAATCTAACAGTGGTACAGTCAATTTACTCACTTCCCGGACTATAGCAACCGATAAATAAAGTTCAAGGTACTGCAAACAAGAACCATTTATTGAACAAAGGAGTTAATCAAGCACGAAAACCCTATTCTTGTAAAGTTCAAATTGTAAGCGAGGCTACTTATCGAAAAGTGATCTCGTGCCTACGATTCCTTATCCTTACGATCCAAATGACGACACTGATAAAAATAACTTACCAGGCACATCTTGCGGGCAATTGTATCAATGCAGGGGTTTGTTGCTCTGAGTTTGAATATGTACCTTAGCGTAAAATTAAAAGAGTGTGTTATTAATAAGGATATAAATGGTTCAAGATAAACGTGCAAAACTTTTTGCTATTATGCGACTGCTACGGCAAAATTCTTGAGAGTATGTGGGGCCTTCAATTGATTTCATCGGCTCCGGCATTATACTTGAGGAAAGTCTACTATTTCTGAAGCAATCGTAAACCTAAATTCTCGAACTTCTCGTCGGTGGAGGGAGGCGGAAGAGTGAGCCGTTCGTACAAGTTGGGATAAGTTGCCCTGGACATGCAAAATGACAGAAGCTATACTTTGCTTTCTTTCAATTTTAACTTACTTCTCTCAACCACTTGGCCATTTGTCTCCCACGAACTTTTCACCGTAACAATAAAAGTTGCAACTTTCTTTCCCTCTCGTTCCGCCCGGATCCGCATTTTTTCCCTACCTTTCCAAACGGACGCAAAAATGGAAGCCCGGTGCCGTTGAAGGCATTGCACCGATAGAAGCGTCCTCTGACGTATGGCCCTTCTTTTTCGGAAAAGATGAATTTCCTACCAATTTGCATTTCTAACTCCGAAAAATATAGATACCATATTGCATCATCTTCGTACGAGTGGGGTCTGTATTACCGAGCAATTCTGTTGCATATGTGCACTGTATCGGTTTTTTGCCACAGCAAAATACCAAACAAATCCACAGAAATCTCCGAGAAGCCTTATTGGATTTGTTTGGCAGATACCCTTTTTCAAAGGGAGAGGCAGATCATGTACATACAGTATTATGTGCACTTTAGCTTCAAACTTTAAATGAACTTTATTCACGCACTTTCATTTTTGACATTGGGAAGAAAGGCTTTCATTAGCTTAGGGAAATATCCGACAGCAATCAATTTAACAAATTCTAAAACTTTCAAAAGAATGGAAGAGGTTTATTTCGGCTTTTGATACAGGCTTAAAACCACTGGTTTGGGAAATTAAAGGTAAAATGCTTCTGCCGGTCCGCAGAGTTCCCATTGTACCGTAAAGTTTGAGTGAATGATCAAAAGTAGAGAAGATCAGGTGTGTATATAAATATGCAAAATGTTGCAAAGCGATGCCACATCTCATCGCCCCACCTCCATCAGTCACTCTTCATTACCATCAAAATGTTTGGCAGCTTCTTTGATCAAGAACTACCCATCAATCAATTCGCCACACCTTCTACGCCAGTTAGTGCCAGAATACCGCAATTATCCAACATCTTTTCTAATTCGTCATGGTCTCAAACTATTTTACCTTCTCTACTCCCATCCTTTCACACGAAGCGAAATGATCCATCATTTTCACTCAAACAGGATTCACCATTCGATATTCATGCCCTTACCCGTCACGGTATCTTTCAAAATATTTTAGCCAATCAAGCTAGCAACTCCCGCGTACTCGTATTCCTTCTATTGTCTCTATGTGGACTTTTCCTTGTGCTTTATTCTATTCATTGGAGACATACTCAAGATGAAGAGCAATTAGGCAAAAAGGTGAGTGTACCGCAAAAGAAATCGGCTAGTTTTGGGTAGCGTGTGTATTTGGGGATAGTTGCGGACCGCAATGGCAATTGCTTGTCCACTTGCTAGCTCTCACGCTTATCTTGGTTTTGACGATTTCAGACTAACAGTACCTTTTTTCGTGCAGATCACTCCACCTATTGTCAACATTCCTGCCGACATTCAATTATCCGAGAAAGGACATCAAGCTTATTCTGATGCATTGGAAAATGAAGGATGTGGTGATGTAGTGATAATTCCACGTCATGGCAGAAAAGAATACGTCGTGGATTACAAGCACGTCAAGAATGTTCTGACAGATTCTCAAAACTTCAGCTTTGAGCGTGCAGTAACGAATATGTTACACATGGAGTTCATGTTATGGTTCAAGAATGGCACTTTTGTTCAAGAATTAGATGGTTTGGTGCAAGATGGTGTAACGCCAAGATTAAAAGCCGTTATTGAAAAAGTATCGCCAATCTTCTCACGCGAAGCAAATGCTATCAAAAATGCTCAAAAGCAGGTAAAGAATGATACGATTGTGATTGAAGACGTATATGAATGGGTTCATCATACAATCGCTCAAGCAATGGTAGTCTTAATCCTGGGTGAAAAGTACCTATCGCCAACGATGACAGAGCACTTTATGGCGATCACTGTTGCTATTTCACATCTGGCTGGGATTTATGAGAATACACAAGGATGGAGAAACTTTCCATCGTTTTGGTCATTAAAGACTACGCTACAGGCAATTTTTGGAACTGTTGTACCAAGATTTTTCTTTGGCATCTTGCCAACGCTTTGGAAGAACAGATTTGCACATTTGAACCATGGTATTGATGTTGAACACAACGAATATGCACCATTTTTCGATTTGCTAGCATCAAAGCATCGAAACAAACGAACTGGAACGCTTTCAGTTTGGAACTTTTTTTGGTGTGCAACAGTTTCGCTTGGAATCATTTTTGCCAGTATTCATCAAACGGCAGTTGTTGCAGTTTGGTGTGTGATGGTTCTTTCGCAAAAGCAAGACGAATATCTGCAAGAATTACGCAAAGAATGGGAAGAATTTATCGAACATGATGATGAAGGGAACTTGCATCTTACTGTTCATAATTTACGTGACTTAGTCAAAACTGACTCGTTTATCCGTGAAGTGATGCGTACAAAAGGTGATACATTTGCACCTGTTCGGTATACTACCCGTGATGTTCAAGTTGGTCGATTTGTTATTCCAAAGAACAGTCTTTGTGCACCTTATGTGAAGAGGGCACATGAGCATTTTGACAATTATGGAGAAAAAGGAGCAGAATTTGATGGTTTTCAATGGTATTATCAGAACAAGCCTGCCGTTCAAGGAGGACATGATTTTATCAGTTTTGGACTTGGCAGATGGGCATGTCCTGGACGTCATTTAGCGATTGCTGAACTTAAAATGGTGATTTTAATGCTTTTCGCTCATAATGATGTGCAAATTCGAAAAGATACATTCCATGTCTCTGATCCAATGAACACGACCAGCGTTGCGCCAAATGGAATCTTAGAAATCAGTTCAAGATCGTAGAGGCCATATATATGTATATATATATTTATGCATTATACACATGTTATACCTGTCTAAAACCGCAAAAACAAGGTTCAATGTGTTTTATAATCGGTCGGAAAAGGTGCATTCTTCAGGCGTATTCGAATGAATGGAACTTTGTTGTTTCATCTATATACCAATTCAATCTATATTTCAGCACTATAGGAGAGTGTCTTCTGCACCATGCAGAATGACATCGCACAGTAGAACATGTTTCGTCTAGACATCGCTGTCATATGGCCAGATGGAGTAGTGAAAAGAGGTGAATCTTTTAATTTGGCCATTTGTCCGTAATACTCTGGTGGGACACTGCCCATGTGCTTGATACCATTTTACGCTTCTTACCAGTCTCTTACCAAGCGCAGCGCATGCGTAAGTAAGTGCGAATAATTTCCACTAATCTTACCGCCCGCGTATGGCGTACCTGCATGTAAAGTTAACCACGAAGATGGAATGAATGGTCTAGGCGTTGAGGGAGATACATAGATGAACTTTGTTCTTCTACAACCATACCAACTTTAAATAAAGTGAAACGGTAGAATCTTTGATTTATGCTAAAGTGAGTCGAATACGGTTCTGGTCTTATGCTTACATTTAATGGAAAACGTACAAGTGAACCCAAATCTGGTTTTAGCTATTCAACATTGAGTTCGTCTTTGCACTTGAGCAGTATTGCATCTCGTACCTGTCAAGCATTTGTATTGTTTCTGCCTTTACTGAGTCAACAAACAGCAACAAGTCAGCCTATTGACACCTTTCAAACTGTCAAACATCAGGCCGGCAATTGCAATCGATATTCTTAGATTATACGCTGCGCTAAATAATCCTTCCGAGAAGCAAATTCACGGCCAGATTATAAGATTTACAACAGCTCAAAAACACTTTTGAAGGGTATGTAAAGCGGCTAATTAGCAAAAGTTTTTTCCAAGAACTAACCATCAATTCATTTCCTTCCACTTTTCTACCTCCTCCCTTTCCCCTCCGTTTACCATGCTTTCCAGTCAAGCTTTCTCACAAACGTATCAAAGGGCAATCATTCTGGCAATGGTATGCCTTTTGTTGTGCAGCAAACCCGTATCTGGACGCAGTATCAGGACAGATACTGTCCAGAACACAACGCTCACATTCAAGCTCAACGACCTTCCTATCGGTTTCATTCCACAACACGATGCTTCACCAACACCAATGGCAGATATCAATACCGTACTAAGTCAGGGAGCAAAAGGTGTGGGTAACACCTATCGCTCTGCCACGTTTGGATGGTATGCACAGGTCTATCCTGGCTTACCATTTAAAGGAGAACAATTACTCAAGATTAAAGATGATGTGATCAAGAGCGGTGCAATCTTTGAAATTGCAATCATGCCTTTACGTTCTTACGACGGTTTTACAGCTCAGGATCCTTCTCAAGCCATAGCGGTTGCTAAGGTCTTACAACAATTCACTCAAGCAGGCGTTCAAGTTCGTTTACGTTTTGGTCATGAGATGAACTACTATGGTAACCCGACAAGGGGAGAGTATATTTATAGTAATGATACAGGAGCATTCAAAGAAGCATTTAAGCAAATGTCTATTGCTGCTAAACAATATTGTCAAGATAAAGCTCAAATGGTGTTTAATCCTAATTCGGGCAGTTTAGCCGAGATTGATAGTTGGGCACCCGATCCAAGCACATACAGTATGATTGCTCTTGATTATTACGCACCATCAAGGAAATCTTTATCTGTTGCAAATTATCTTTCTGTTGTTCAGCCATTTTATCAAAAGTACGGTCAAAATGGATCCAAGCAATATATCATTGCTGAAACATCACTCCAATACAATTCAACAATTGATGATCGATTACGATGGTTACTTGTACTTTCGGATCCAAAAATACGTCAAACACTCAAATCACTTCAAAGTTTAACATGGTTTAATTTGAATAAAGATTTTCCATTTGAAATCGTTTATCCACCTTCTGATCCTGCAAATGCTCCATTGATCAAGATGGTGAGCAGCAGCATGAACAAGAGAAAGCCTCTGTTTGTAGCGCTTCGCAGATCTCTTGCTTTACTTTTCCTTGTTTCTGGGCTAATAGAAATCACTTGATCCTTTATAGTATATCACAATGTATTCTAATTTACATCAAACTCAATAAAACTCAGAGAATTAATCTTAAGGAGTAAAGAAAGACATCTCTGCGTGCGCCGCGTTATTGGCCGAAGTGCCGAAGATTGGCCAACTTTAAGTCCCGGCGCGGGGACATAAGAATTGTATTTTATTTTATATTGAGATCAAAGGGAAGAAAAGTATAAAAATAAAAATAAATTCTTATATGCACTGCATCATGCATACACATACACACACTATCATAGCTTATCTAACATCCTGCTCAGCACCAAAAAAAGGGGAAAAGCGTCTTGATTGGCATCACTTCTATCTTGGCTTACCCTCCACGACGATCATCGATCAGTCACAATGAGCTCACCTCAGCCGGAACGACAACCTTTGATCGGCAGAAGGAGATCGTCACAATTCCTATCAGGGTCTACACGATCAAAGAGCTTCAATGTGAATGATGAATATGGACATGCATATGGTTCAATAGCACGATCAAATCATGGCAATGATGACAACGACAGCGATCATGAAGAAACAACAAATGGCAACCGATCAGAAGCAGGTACAGAAGACGAAAATAGAGCACCTACACCTCTACCCAAAATGCAAATATTCGTCTTGTGTGTAATGCGATTAAGTGAACCGATTGCATTTTTATGCATCTTACCATTTATACCCAAAATGTTACGAGAAAATATGCCAGACGTACCTAGATCGCAAATTGGATATTGGGCAGGCTTAATCGAAAGCGTTTTTGCAATCGTTCAATTTGCTACTGTATTCTTATGGGGAAGAGCTTCGGATACAATTGGACGAAAACCTGTTTTATTGATCGGCTTGTTCGGCGTTGCACTTTCAATGAACTTTTTCGGTCTTGCAAAAACTTTACCACAAATGATCATCGCTCGGTCTGTGGCAGGTTTCATGAATGCAAACATGTCTGTTCTCAAGAGCACATTGGGTGAATTGACTGATGAAACCAATCAAGCGAGAGCATTCAGCTTGCTGCCTTTATGGTGAGTGTAATAGGGACTTGCTAGGTAAGATTGAGGCACTCACATGAATCTTCCCCTCCACAGCTTCGCACTTGGCTCTTTGATCGGACCGGCATTGGGAGGAGCACTGAGTAATCCCGCCAAGCGATTCCCGATCTTCGAAGATTGGGAATTCTTGAAAATGTATCCGTACTGGCTGCCATGCTTTTGTGCGTCATTGTTCTGCTTCCTTGGCTTTATTACCGGATACTTCTTTTTAGAAGAGACTTTGCCCTCCAAAAGGCGATTGAAAGAACGTCAAAATCGCATCGAAAACGGCGAGGGAGAGAGATTGATAAATGAAAATGAAGAAGAAGAACAATTGGCCAAAGAAAGACCACCTCCCTTCCGACAGTTACTCACACGTCCAGTCGTTTTGGCTTTGGTGAATCAAGGAATGATTAATTTCATCAATATTTGTTATATCGCAGTCCTTCCGCTGTTTTGTGATACGCCAATCGAAATGGGAGGATTATCGCTCAATGAAGCGCAAATCGGTACATACTTGGCAGCAAATGGATGTGTGACAATCATCGTTCAATTATTCTTGTTCCCTTGGTTGGAACGTAAATGGGGCGGACCATACAATACCCTTCGGAAATGTCTGTCACTTCTTCCGATGGTATTTGCATGTTTCATTTTGGCACACTTTGCCGGAAAAGCCTTTGGGTTCAAAGCAGTCGTTGCTTCATTGGCCGTGCTCTTATTGGTTAGAGGTGGCTCTTCAATGATGATCGTTAGTTCAAATTTATGCATTAACAACGTTGTCCCTCATCGAAATGCTCTGGGAAGCATTAATGGTATGAGTCAATCAATGGCTTCTCTTGCAAGGGCAATTGGTCCGATTGCGGCAAATAGTGGTTATGCTTTTTCTATCACTGCTTTCAAACACGTTTTAGACGGTCAATCAATTTGGATCGTACTTTGCTTAATCGCTTTTCTTACTTGGTTCATCTCTGCAAAGATGGAAGTACCTCGCCGAGCTGCATGGCGAACTGCACAATAATGAAACGGTACATATTATCGAAAGTTGTACTATAATGAGACATGAAATATATCTAGAATACAAGAATATTTTGCTAATTAGACACGAACGTTAGCTTTTACCGATTCTACTTCTTCAGCAGTGAGACCTAAAGTATTTTTTGCATACCCTTCAAAGTCACCGTATTGGTCTTTGACAGAACGTAAGAATTGAAGCATGATTTCTGCTCTACTTTCACTTGTTGCTAAAAATCGAGGATCATTTGTGGCAAATTCAGGCACCATTGCTCGCATTGCTTTAATCAAATGTTCTCTTGCCGGTTCAACACCAATACGGGTTAATGCATAATCTGCCGCAATTCCTTCGTCCGAACAACCTGCCAGAGATTGCAGCATAGCAACGGCTACGCCTGTACGATCCTTTCCTGCTGTGCAATGCAGAAGGATTGCTGCAGGGGAATTTTTTGGCAAATAAGCAAGATCCAGTAAAACTTGACGAAAGATATCTTGATGCGAGTGTAAGATTGCAAGGTATGATTTCACGAGAGCAGCTTGAATGGCAGGTTGAAGTTTACCTTCAGCGTCTTGAACAGCCTCAACGTCGATATCATCATGTTCTGTTTCTTTGTTTAATCGTTTTTTAGCAACTTGAGCGATGATTTCTTCTTTTGATTGTTTGTTCACTCGTTCTGTTACTTGCATTTGTTCCATGATGGAAATATGATCTCTTGGTGCAAACCATTTCACTTTCACGCCATCCATCATATCTTCATTTGCGTGTGGATCACGTACACGTTCTGCTTCACTTCGTAAATCGTACACATTTGTGATCCCAAGCTTTTTCAATGCTCTTCCGTTGAAAGCTGATTTTCCTGCTCTATAAACCTTTTTTGAACGTAATTCAGGCGTACGTTCAGGACTACAAGCATCTCTGAAGTTCAAACATGCAACAGGAGCAGATGTGTTTTCTGTTCTTGCTTCATCTGAAGATGCCAAAAGAATAAAAGGCGGAGAGATTAAAGCTCTTGCAAGGTTTTCTGCAGTGATTGTTTCCAAGACTGAAGTTTTTGCCAAAGTATCCAATTCGTTTGCCGTCATTGGCTTTACGTTTGCTTCGTTTGTTAACATGATTGCTGATCTTTGAAGAAGTGTTGCTGCAGCTGCCATTTTTGAAAGAGGAGGAAGCAGAGTGGGATTTTATACCTTTTTAATTTGTTGATGGAGGTGGCATTGTATGTATGAATGAATGAATTGTACTCCACAACATCTATCAATCCTTCAAAAGTACCACCAAAGCGCAATGTGGAGTGAGGAAGAAGGAGCGGTATAGATGGTGTTGCAAAGATGACTTGTACAGTGCCTTAAAAATATTACTTATGCAAGAACGGAAAATTAAAGCTCGGTCTAATAAAAATAAGCTATGTAACGCGGGTATGAATAGAGTGCATGGCCCCCCGCGTGACTTCCACTTTTTTGATAAACGGATCTCGGGGGGTCAACGCGGAGACTATCAAGCCGTCTTCAGAAAATATCCATTTTCCGATCGCGGCTTTTGTCCGTTGAGTATTGAAACGAGAAAGTGGCTTGCTATAGTCAAAAGGCTAAGTAAGCACACCTTTGCACTTCTTATTCGGCAAAAGAAGGAGCCATAGTCTAACAACGGGAAAGTACAGCCGTCGGATTCTGAAAAAGGGGCGGATGTGGTAATCATAGGGGTAACAGCTCGCAATACTCGTAGCCGTGAAATATTATAGATAGGACATGTCAATAAAATTCATTGCAAGGCTATGTCTGACAAACGAGGCGCTTATTCCGAACAAATGCGATTGTGGTAAATTAATTGCGGTCTTCTCTTCGGCGTAAAAGAGGATAACAGAAGCCTTCAACGAGGCTGTACGTTTAGATACATAGAAACTGATATAAAAGGTGGAGAACTATCCTTTTTTATTTGAATACCGCCGCCATTTCCGACGGGCTTGGAATTTTATTGCGGATACAAAGTGTCTGATAGCGGTAAAACTTTCAATCTCCGACTTGATTGATACGTTGCGTGCTTTATCAATTTTACGACGAATTTGCTCGGGAATAAGACGATCCTCATTGTTTGTCACTGGAGATGATATTAAAATAAGATTAAGTAAAAAAAGAAAATCTTAATTCCGTAGGGAATACCGGATACCGGATAATCTAAATCGTGAACGGAAACTTTCTTTCCTTCTTGGCGCATGAGATTTTGTCTCCGGTCAGAATTCTCGTCCGTCTGAGTTTCAATTATTGCTCTGAGAAATCGTACGATCCTTCATCACCCTGACCGTTACCATTCTCATGTCCTTAGCACGTCATTGATCAACAAAAGAGAACGATACCAGGAATGCACGGCGTATTTTCTCATGTAACCCCACGAAATTCGCTCTCTAATACTGATGTGAACAAAGATCTGCAAATAGCACATCTTTAACTTTAAATCTGACAGATTGGTTTGGGGGACCCTCTTTTGCTAAGAGATCAGCGTTCCTTTTTTTGATTGGGGGTTACACTATTGTTTGATCACATCCTAATTAAAGTAAACATTAAAACCTTAGAGTGATAAAGTGCGCGTTTAAATTGACTTAATAAACTAAAGAATGAAGCTAATGCAAGAACGATGTCGACATTGACAGCTTCTATTGTACAATTAACCCTTTATCAACCAATCATAACTTTCAGCTTACCTTCTTCTCCAGAAAAGGAATCTGTCTGACTCATCAGTAGTGAAAAGTTTATATGACAGTGATCCTTCTAGCGTAAAAATTAAGCATGCTCGGATTGTAAGCTTTGAATACTCAATCAAACAGATTAATCACGTCAACGAAAAAGTGTCAAAATGATTGGTTACCATCGCAAGAAATAGATGAAGGTGAAAAGTTTGTTTGTTGATTTGGTTTGATGAAGTGTGATTTATGTTCTCCGAAAAAGCTTATAAGGAGGATCCTTTATCTATTGAATCCGTCCTAATCTGTCATCATAATAACCTCTTCCATTCCCCTTCCCCATTTCCTTCCATCCACCATGAAAGCCTTTGCTCTTCTATCTATCGCCATCATCGGTCTTCTCAGCTCAGTCCAAGCCTTCCCTGCTTTGGGTGATCCATCCTCCCCTCAGTACGGTGAATTTCTTAAACGTGCTGCTGAAATTAAGGCAGGCAAAGGCAAATTTCAAAATTTGATCAAACGTGGTTCAAACTTTACCCAACAAACACCCGACAACGGTTTCGGTCATCGTCGTTTAACAGCTTTGATCGATCCAGACAGCTTCAAGTACAACGAAAAAGAACAAACAGTTGATTTAACTTCTGATGAACATAAGTTCATTCCGCCTGGACCGGGCGATATTCGTGGTCCTTGTCCTGGTTTGAACTTGTTGGCAAATCACGGTTACTTTAACCGTAACGGTGTTACAAATTTAGCTCAAGGTATTGATGCAATCAACAAAGTCTTTGGTGTCGAATACGATTTAGCTTTAGCCTTGAACGCATATGCAGTTGTGTTCAACGGTAACATCCTTGACCTTTCATGGTCGATCGGTGGACCTCCTCCCGCTTCAAAAGGTTTGGGTGCTCTCGAGGATATCCTTGCAGGTCCACCTCAAGGTATTAGTGCACATAACATTTACGAAGGTGATGCATCCATCGTTCGCCAAGATTATTATGCTCCAGGATCAAACTATAACAATTATGATGTTCACTTGCCATTCTTCAAAGATCTTTTGGCTTTGGGCAACAATGATGCCACACCGGGCAAGGATGTCTACAGCGCAGAGCTCATGTTACAGCACAAAGCAAACCGTTGGCATGAAAGTGTGGCGACCAATCCCTTCTTTTTCCAAAGTGCTTTTGGTGGTTTGGTCGTCACTACCGCTGCTGAGCGTTTTGTTGCTGAATTTGCAGCAAACAATACGGTTGACGATAAAGGTTACAATCGCATCTACTTGGATGAACCTAATCTTTTGGCATTCTTTGGTGTTGAAAAGGATTCAAATGGTGAATTACACTATACTCCAGGTCATGAGCGTTTATTGCCAAGCTGGAAGAGACGCCCTTTAGCTGCAACTTTCGGTTTGGATGACATCGTTTTAACTTTACTCAATGCTGCAAACGTTGATCCAAGTTTATTGTCCCTTGGTGGTAACACCGGAAAGGTGAACAGCTTTGCCGGCGTTGACGCAGGTGATATCACTGGCGGAGCAATTCACACTACAGACTTATTAAACGACCCTCAAGCTTTGGCATGTTTCTTATTCCAAGCTGGTATCGAAGAAGTTGTACCTTCTTATTTAAACGCAATCTACAAGGATACAGCTAAAGCGCTCGACTTTGTTGGCCAAAACATCAAACGTCCTTTCCAAAGCCTTGCCGAAGCTGGCAATAACCCTTGCGAGCGTTACAACACAAATGCAACCTCTTATTATGACAAATACCCTGGATCAAAGATTCAAAAGAAGACCGACAATGGTCTCGTTGGCACTCTCCTTGGCGGTGGTTACTAAAAAGCTTCTCCTTCCATAGATACACTCTTTCTTCTCATCATTAAAGTACGCGCAGATAGATAAAGAGGGATACTTTCTTCACTATTCATAGCAAGCGGAAATATTGATATCTTTAAAGTTTGACCGGCAAAGTTACGATGCTAAGGGGGAGAGAACGAAAAGGAAACCTAAGAAGAACAACATTGACCTGCATTATTCTGTTGGCCAACGTTGTTGGAGAAAGTGTTAGTGATAGCGGGGTTCGCGGTAGCGGAACTACCGCTTCTTAGTAGATCCCGAATTGCGGGATGTTCCCACGTGTATGGAACAATTATGCTGCACAAGTGTGCAATTATGTTTGCTGGCAAAGCAAGTTATGCGACGTTCGGTGTTAGGTAAAAGTGCATGTATTTACATTCTATCTAATACTATCATCATTCCCAAGTTATCTAGCTTATATTGAACATAGGATATCCAACAAACGTCAGATAAATGAAGATGTCCAAAAAACTGATTGTGTTGTCAATCAGGTTTATTTACGTTTTTTGTCTGGATAACACATCTTAAGAACGCACTTGCAACCATCACCGCAACCATTACTTGGGCAAAATCGGATGCAAAAGTTTCTTTTGACTAGGGTAACATCTGAGTCTTGCATCTGAAATGAAGGAGCTAGTCAGAAAAATATTTTCAACTATACATTTGCACAAGAAAAACTTACCATGTTCTGCAAAATTGCAGCACGACGTTCGATTGGATGTTCAATTTCATTCAATTTTGCAATTGGAATAGCCAAAACAGCCGAACAGTTAAAAATAGCAACTGCTACAATAGCAATAACGTTCAATTGCATCTTCATTGTGATTTGGTGATAAGAATGAGAAGTTGAAAATGATGGAAAATACAGTAATCGTGAGATAATAAGCCACTTTAAATACCAAGCACTCTATTCTTGTCTACCTGAAACAAGCTATCAGAACCTGGTCTAATACACTGCCTTAAAGGCATTGCCATACCTTTGCCATGTAACAAAAAATATATGCAAAGAATCTCCTCCTCTATAAACACTGCTTCGGAAGCAACTTAGCTACTCTTCTTAAGATTGCAAAGTATAGCCTTCGGGATCACATTTACACGGAACATGTATGTTCCGTTTGCGACGGGGAGATCAGCCTGTACTTCATGTCGGTGCGTACAGTAATATCCGACGATGACAAGATGCTGAACTAGATGGAATAATTTTGACAATGTGGCTGTATACGGAAAAGGTGCTACTTCTTGTGTATCCGACTCACCGCCGTTCGGAAACTGTTCGGTATGATTTCTGCGGTGAGGTAACAAACGATTCATCTTGTGCAATCAATTTGCCGGCCGAGATAAATGTTTGAAAGCCGAATCTTTCACTGCTTTTACGGCGTTTGCGGTCAATAGTTGGTGCTATGTTTGTTCATCCAATCAATCAATCAAATAGAGTTTCAATAAAGATTCAATTCAGATAATGTCCAAAAGATTGTTCGTTCAAATGTGCGTACACAAAAGAAAGAAAACAAAAGAGAGTATAGAGAGAGAGAAGATTGATAAGAAAGAGGAAAAAAAGTAGCAAAAGATGTTGTTTGTGTATGTCGTGAAATGATAAGAAAATCTACTTAAGTGCTGGTGATTGCTGTGTTGCACTGCATTTGATATGACGGTGCAACATTGCTTGTAAGGATTGAGTGTATTGCTTGCAAAATAAGGAGGAGAGTTTGTAAGATATAGCGAGAGAAAGACTTTTTTGCGTACGCTAGCTCGCCTTGTGTGTATGATTGTTTATGTTGATTATGTCGGTCGTATACAGTGAATTGAGATTCAAGAAAAAATTACAAGGACTTGCAAATTTGACAATCCAATTGGATGGTCGAACCCAAGATAGCCGGAATGGCAATCAAGCAAACAAAGATGGCAGCCGCCAAGATGAACAATAATCCATATCGGATGATGATGGATCTTCTTTGTTTGCGTGCGCGAAGTGAAAAGATTGGAGCGTGAATTTGTCTGCTTGGTCGTAGCCAGAACAATCCCATAGAATGAATCTTGTTCATGAATGGAATCAAAAGTGGAATTGAAAGACCGAATAGCAAAATATGTGCTTGAATAAAGTCAGCACTGAACAAACTTGCTTCGATAATCTTGACAACAAATTCACGTGCAGGTTGCGAGAATGCATGTCCTCCTAATCCTCTTCCGTACCAACGACCAGTCCACCATGCTCGGTTGGTCTCATCGTGCTTCAATTCACGCGATAGAACCAACGAAATCAAAATCTTGAAAATTGCTCTTTGGATGGCAACAACGGCAATGATACCCAAAACACAGTGAGATGCGTTCCATTGTTCCAAGAACCACAAGAATTCGAATGCAGCAATCATACCAACAACGGCAAGAATGTGTGCGATGGCGGCCATCACTGATCCAAATTTGTTGCAGCAATTGTTCAAAGCAGGTCCGAGGAAAATACTGATCATAAAGATGATCAACAAAATGGCTGCGTTCCAAACGATTGGTCCCAAAGCAATGATGGCAATACGTGTGATTGCGCCCATTGGTGGATCACCAGGAGAATGGAAACTCTTGACGAAAGCATATGCAACCACAAAGATGACAGCCAAACAGAATGGACCAAGAACTTCGGCAAACAAGATCGTTCTCCAGCTTGCTCTTGGCACATCACCGGCCAACTTTTCACTTGGATGTCCCAAACGCTTCTTCTTGTAACCTGTAACCTTTGTTCTGCTCAAACGACAGTAACCGATCCATGAGTTTGCATGACTTCTGCTGTTACCACGCGACATCCAGCGCAAGAATTCACGGTAATCGATAATGAAATCACCGATTGAGAATTGATGCGGGTTGAACAAGAATGGAGAAATGCAAAGAGCCAAGATGGAAACCCAGAAATAAATCAAATGAGGAATCCACAACGATAATGTGACGTAAAGCAACATCAACAAGAGACGCATTCCAGTGTAAATTGACGGTCCTGCGAAACGACTGTATAGCAAGGCGAAACTTTGACGAGTAGTTGCGAAACCACGTCCGGTAGCAATGTAACGTGCACCACCGAATGTCAAGTTGGAAATGATACTGTGACTGTAGATTTGCGTGCTGAAGACTTCGAAAACGGGAGACAAACTCAAGAAATGCTTGGATAGACGAACGATGGCCGAAATTGCACCTCTTTCTGACAATTCTTGCAAGAACAAAGGCAAGAAAGCAATCATGAAGACCAAGAAGATGGAAATAATTGTACGTTTGATCCACAAGAAGACGGGGTGCAAGTAGTAGCAACCTGGCAATCCGGTTTGGTAATCATTGTCCGTAACACCGCAAATGTTGAGAGAAGAGTTGAGCGTTCCGATGAATACCATGGCAAACATGAACAATTGCACGGACATAATGACCAAAATGTTGTTGATGTGGAAACCAGGGTGACCATAGTAGAAAGTCAAGAAACGATCGACGGGCAATTGCGTACCGAGGTAATAGTATTCACGGGATAACATTTGTTCACCCATACCGTTACCCAATTTGGTGGTAAAGTTCAAAATTGTACCGAAACCCAAATCACGACCTTTACCGCATTGGTAGTACTCGCAATGCTTGATTCTACCACCACGTCCGAAAGCAGTCATACCGGCATAAATATCTTCGTTCAAGTGCAATCCTTTTTGCGCTTTTGAAACACCACCACGAGTTGTCATGAAAATAGCATTGAGGATATCCGGGTGACCATAATGCAATTTACCACCAATTTGTGCCAAACCACGACCAGCCATAGTACCGAACGTTTGTTCTTTACCAGCAGCAACATCACCCAAAATACCAATGTTCTCGGAGAAAATGTATTCACGAGCACCAACGATGGCAACTGGGGCGGTTGAATGTTCTGTATGTCCACTGCCGTAAGGGTTTTGACTGCTGACATTGAACGATTCGAATTCTCCCAAAACGGAACGGATCTTCAAACATTCTTCCAAATAATTGTCTTGGTTGGCATCGATCAATTGGATGTATTCACCACGGTGGAAAACGATTGCGTGATTTTGATTATCAGATTTACCGTCTCCCAAAATTGGGTTTCCTGGCAATTCGATACGGAACTTGGGACGACGCTTGTTGTTCGGCAAGATTTCAGAATGACCGTCCACCAATGCAGAGAACCAACGAGATTCACCACCTTCTTTACGTGGAGCTTCTTCGTCCAAGTAGGCGATTTGCAAATCAGGGTAAGCACGTAGTAAGAATTCAGTGTTTTCTTGTTCTTCCTTGTTGAATTTAGAGTAACGTTGCATAGAAATGACAAACTTGAACTTTCTTCTGCTCATGCGTTCCAATTCACGTTCCAATTTCTCTGTATTTCCGCCAAACAATTGAACAACCTCTGGGTTTTCGACACGGTATAACAATTTGATGGCCTTTGCATAGTTCATGAATCCAGAAACGGTACGGTAAAGTGTTTGAGCACGCAAAGAAGCCCAGATACGAGTACGCAAGGTGTATTCGGGAGCAGCAGATTTGAAACCGATGCAGTAGAAAGGCAAATCATCAGTCTTTGCCGAGCTCTTTCCACTCTTTTCGTCTCCGTCACTGAAAGGTGATCCACCAACCAAGCCACTTGTTTCTTCTGCCAAAATCTTTGTATCTTTGACGAAGTTGTCCCATTCGATTGGATGCAATTGCTTGAGGTATTCCAACAAGGTAACACGAGTGTTTTGATCTTCTTCACGAATAATTTCACGCAAAGACAACAAAATCTTTTCGCTGTAATGTGGCGTCAAGACTGTGAAAGTTGGCATAGCGTCGATCGGCAAAGGTTCTGGCAAAGCGGTTGTAAGGGATTGAGCAAAGAAACTGATACGACGTTCGGCTTCAGATCCTTTGGGGAAGAACTCTGGCTTGACACCCTTGTCTGTTTGACTGATAAAGAACGCCGGTGCACGCAATGTACGCTTTCCGTCATCTCCAGATGGTACTTGATGGTACAATAACTTTTGAACGTGATCGATGGATAACAAATGTTCGCGATACATGGAAATGATGATGGCATTCCAAACTTGTGAGACGAGCACCTTTGGTTTGTATTTGATTTCCATATCTGTAGTTGCGAGTAATTTAGCATAGATACGCTTTGGCAAACGTTGGAAGATATCGCTCCAAGGTGTCCAGATGGACAAACCCATAGAGAAAGACCAACCAATACTGAAAACGGTGTTCCAAATGACGTACCACAAGAAAGTGTCCAAGAAGAACAAACACAAGTCCATGATTGTCATTGCTGTCAAAGCGAATGCTGGTTGATAAGAGCATAGCGATGAACCAAAGTAACGGTCGTTACAGTTTTGTACGCGCATAGTAATCATCACGGCCAATGGATCACGGAATGAAAGCGTCAAGAAGAAGTAACTTTCAGTGAGCTTGCATCCGAACACCAAACACCAAAGCAAAATGCTGACCATGCGATGAGATCGTACCAAAGGTGCATAACTTGCGGTGAACGTCTGATTGGCCAAATACTTGCGTGCTTTACCGGCAACACGATCACCAAACATTCTACCAGATGGAATGATGGCAAGGAAACCAGTAATGCAACCTGCAACAGCAATGTGACAATAAGCAACAATGTTTGCGATTGTACCACGCTGGTTAAATCCATGAATATAAACTGCAGGTGCAATTGTGACGGCCAAACAAACACTTAAGAACATCATCCGTCTTGCCAAATGACTTGTGTTGTTCCAAGTTGTGGGAATGTAAGAGAATTCTGCCAAAGTTGCCATGATCATAATGAAGGTTGAAACTGCACCACCAAGAGCGGATGCGGAAAACGATTGTGCGGGAGAGGGATTCATTTTACGTTCGTAAATCATGGGCGCATTGTATGCTGTGTAGTACCAGAAACAAGAAATGTGTAAGATCCAAATACGGTTAAAGTTGACGAGCAAGTGCAAGAAACTACGCTTTTCCTTGTATGTTTTGAAAAAGACACGGTTCCAATCGATCTTGTCGAATTTCATGAATCGTTGATTGGCTGGAACATCGACCAAACGAGTTTTGTCATTTAGAACGATACGTCCAATACCTTCTGGGTACCAGAACAATTGGTTGACATCATCGTAGCCAATGATCTTGTCGTGGTCGCGCTCTTTCTTGACAAACTTTCCGTCGACAACTTCAAAGACTTGATCACGCAAGAATCTGTATAGTGGTTTGACGACTGCGCGCAAGTACAAGCCTTCTGGAACGGGGTCCATACGGTTTTGACATTCGGGAGAACGGTAATAGTCATCTGCACATTTGAAGATGAAACATAGACATTCTGGCACGAAACGTACTTGACCACCTTCACCCCAACACAAGAGGTACAATGCAATTTGACGAAGACGATCGTAGTCACTCATTCTGTTCATTGCATCACGCCACCTTGTTTCTGCTGATTGAAGTGATTTAGCGCTTGCGTTGAGTTTTGATGAAATGTTAGCTGCCCTCTTTCCACCTCTGTTGGCCAAACTTGCAGCCCGTGCAAGACCTGGGTTTTGTGCTTTGCCGATTGCATCATCCAGATCCAATTGAGCGGCAAAGTACCACTTTCGATAGTTTGCATGTTCACCACCAATGTAATCTGCGTGTAGAGTTGCCAGTGATTGACTGGGTGACATGCGTGATGATCGTGAATCGAGCAAGATCATCAAGTGGTCGTACATGTTTCGCATGCTATCGCGTTGGAAACCAAACTTGTTGGTCAAATCGATAAAGATGTCTTCGATCTCTTCTTTTGCCAACGGGATTTGATGTTCTGCTGTCCATGCTGGATAGGGTTCACGTTGACGATAACCTGCGCCACCATTGCCTCCAGGATAGTCTGTATAAGGAGAAGAGATACCTGATGGTGCATAACTTCCAGGACCGGGAAATAGGTTTCCACCTGGACCAGCACCTTGTCGTTGACCAGATTCGGCAGAGTATGCATTTTGAGCATAATTGCCTTCGTATGAATCTGCATCATAACCACCACCATTGTTGGGTAATAGATCGGCAACACTGCCTTCTGAGGCAAAAGTGTCACGTCTATAACTATTTTCACTTCCTGCTTCATCATGATAAGCTGCAGCTCCGGCGAATGGATTATTGCCAGGTGGCATTGAACCACCATTACCGCCTCCCATTCCGCCGCCGTGCGATTGTGAGGAAGCCATACTTGTTGAACTTGAGGCCTTTTTAATCAAGGTCTTTTAGTTCTATGGTTTCCAATAAAACGCAAGAAAGTCGGATTAAGAAAGAGAGAGAGAGAGAAATGGAAAGTCGAATGAAAAGGTGTTAAAAGTTGATGGTGTTGAGTTGAATTTGGACTTTGTAAGTAAAACACGCACAAACACACAGACGAAATATGCGCGCACACATTCAAACGCTCTCCGTTTCTCAGGGTTAACACGCACACGCACACGCACAAGCAAGCAGACACAAGTTTTTTCTTATTAAGGCATTTAACCTCAATCAATCATGTATTCATCTGGGCGGTGCAGATCCGTGTGCGCACACATTTTCAGTCTATAGAATAGTAAATTCCGCGCGTTAGTTTTTTGGTGGATGCGGCACCGAATCAGTGTATTTATAATGTACAACCTACTCTCTCTCTCTCTTGCGCCGCGCTTCGAAAAAAAAAAAAAGAGTTTTTTGATTTCCCCTCTTTTTTGCTTTTTCGCGCCTTCAGGAGAGTATGAAACCCATGACGTCTTTCTCTTTCAATCTTCATTTTCTGATCCTTTAAAAGAGATTCAATCTGCCATGATCGCCAGCACAAAATCATCCTATTTTGCTATTGTTTCAATGATAATATAGAACCATAAAAGAAAGGGGGATACGGAGATAGTGCATAAGATACGCTATTTTTATTCATCCTTATTTTTTGAATTTTATAGGAGACTGATGATTTGCATAAGAACAAGGTTTATATTTATCACACCAAGAGCGCGCCGAGAGAGACATCATGCCTGGCTAGATTTTAAAAATTTATATACATACGCGGCAAATGCAATCAATCATCCAGAAGGGCGTTTCAGGGGATCAAAGAGAGGTCATCAACATTCTCCTCCTATTTACAACAATTTTAGCGTTAAAAAAGGGAGTCAATCCATTACCATAACCGAAAGAATTCCGCCAAGGAACAGGTGCATCCAATTAAGACCCAAAGGGCGTAAAGCAGAAGGAGTAGGCGATCTAATCTCCTAAGCATTCCTTCAATAGCATGCCAAGAGGCGCTCGCTTTTACTTGCTTGCTTGCTTCGATCTGACGCAGATTCCAATGCAACAGCCACTATCACTGCTTAGGGTTCCTAAGAAGGTTGTTTTTCTTTTCTCCTTGTTCAGGGAATAGGAGGCGCGTACGCCGTCTTACTTTTCCAATTCAAATTCACCGTTTAAAATACGCGTTCCAAAGTCTGTCGTCTGACAAACAAAAACTCACAACGGAATTCCCGTTACATGCGTTCTTACTATAAATAGACCAAATCATTTGAACCCTATTTAATGGCCGTAGGAACGGTGATTACATACACATACGCATTCACAAAAGCAGCCGAAATTGAAATCACTGACCATTCTTCTCGTCCGAGAGATCTTCTATCAGGAACGTAAATATCAATTCTCGTTCCTTCAAAGTGGGGGACGAACATTCGAATACGAAGATGGGAATGGATGATTTATTTGCTAATGCATAATTGTACAAATGTTTAAAAATAAGTAGCCCTTTCTATACATCTCACTGCGTTTGCTGTGATTGCCATTCGGCTCTCTTTTGCATAATCTCAGAAGGCAATAATGGTTTCGTTCCATTTCGATCTGGATCTTGTTGAATGGTGAAATCATTCTTGAAATCTTTCAATCCTCTCTCCCGCAATTCTTTCCGCCATTCTTCTTGGATCTGTTGACGAACTGCTTCTTCCTCCTCTTGCTGTTGTCTCCACAACCATGTTCTTTCGTCTTGTTCTCCATCTCCTCCGATAAAGTGAACACCTTCAGAACCTTCACTATCGTCTTCCCATTCCAGTCTATGCCTTTGCTCTTCTTCTTCTGCTTCGTATGCATAGGCTACATCATATCGTTTTGGTCTCACTTCATACCCTTCGCTGCCTCTTCTTACCCTCGTCTGTGTATATTCATGAGCGCTCGTGATCGCTTGACCTTCTTCATCACTTTCATTATCCGATTGCATTTCTTCCATCTGACGTCGGTCGTACTCTGCTCCGTCCATAAATGCGAACGCAGATGAGTCTGTCTCTTCATTTGTGGGATTTGGTAAACAGCCATCCGTCAAATCAACTCCGGCTTGTTGAGCAGAATCTTGCTCGTCTTCTTCTTCCTCCTTCTCGTAATCAGGATGCCAAGGTGGCACTTTGCTCCTTTGCCGTAGCGCATTGCTAGGCTTCAAAGCAGGATTGAATCCTCCGTTCCCGTATGTGAACGGATCTCCACTCGTATCTGCTTTTCTTGATCGCTTCCGTGTTTGCGTAAGGTGTTCGGGATCTTTTGGTGGCCAGAAGAATTGCTGAATCTCATCAACTTCTTCTCCAACATCGTACCTCAATCCATCACCTTTTGTTTCTGACGGCAAACACCAGAACAAAGGTGACCGGCCCAAGACACTTGTGATATTGCGTATGAATCCCAAATCGAACGGATAATCGACCTGTCTGATCCTCCCTCTGTTCACCATCCTTTCCACTTTATCCTTCTCCCATCCCTCGATCGTGGTAGTGTTTGCAGTCAAACACCAAAAGTGATAAAAGCTGAAAATACCCACAATCATAAGAGTTGGTAAACAAAAAGCATAATTCAAAACCATCATCACCATCGTTGGCGTACTTGGTGAACGCCAAATTCCACCTTTTTCTAACCACCAATAATCTGCAACACGAGCGGTGAGTAATGTCAGATGCATCAAGCATGTCACATCAACACAAAACAAGAATCGAATAAAACTTGCATAATTTCTTTGTCCAATACAATTTGCAACCCAAGGACAGTGATGATCCATTCGAAGAACGCAACGTTTGCACGTTCTACAATGATGTGTTCGAGGTGGTTTGAATGCTTTGCAGGGTTTGCAATATCGAACCTGTTGCTGTGAGGATGTACTGTTATGCTCTTTTTCATCATCTTGAGCGGGTTGCAACACTTCTTTTGGCGGCTTCCATCCTTTTGGTATTCCACCGGGATCCATGGAAACACAATTGTAATAATTCCAATAAATTCCCAACGCACCAATATTGAAAGGTACTAGTACTTTGCACAATTTCCAAATCGCATCTTCTCTTCTTAGCGGTAGTTGGTACAAGAAGTGTGGAATAATGATCGTTATTTGAAGAGAAAAGACCAAAAAGGTGATCAAACAAACTGTACCAAAAACCCAAGCCTGTTCTTCAGGTTTAAGTGAAGATCGCCTAGGTTTGCTGGATTCCATGTCGGTTTTGAATGAGAACCTGATTGTGATGATGTGGCGATTATTCGTTCATGTTTTGAAAGAAGATGCAACCTCAAAGATGATGAGAAGAGAAGAGAGAAAGTGCAAAAGGTCTCTTCCGCACTTCTCTACCCTTCCAAGCATAGGCGCTTAAAGTTGAATAGTGGAGCCAAAAGAGCCGTGCATATATTGCATGCAAGTTAACGCGTGTATCTTACACAGAAATACTCAAATTGCTGGCTAAGTCATTGATGATGACGGGATTGAATGCTCATTTGCTCACACGGCTATCATGAATAAGATATGAACACAATCATAAAATTGATAGTGTAGATACGTGAGGGAATACAAGGGGTAAGATTAGCTCAAGGCTATCGGAAAGCAGGACATTGATTCGCAATCCGATGAAGATGAAAGATTTCAACTAGTTTCCACCACGAAGACGCAACACCAAGTGCAATGTGGATTCCTTTTGAATGTTGTAATCAGCCAAAGTACGTCCGTCTTCGAGTTGCTTTCCGGCAAAGATCAAACGTTGTTGGTCTGGTGGGATACCTTCCTTGTCTTGAATCTTTGCCTTGACATTATCAATTGTGTCACTGCTCTCGACTTCTAGAGTGATGGTCTTTCCTGTCAATGTCTTGACGAAAATTTGCATACCACCACGGAGACGCAAGACCAAGTGCAAAGTGGACTCTTTTTGAATGTTGTAATCGGCCAATGTACGTCCATCTTCCAACTGTTTACCGGCGAAAATGAGACGTTGTTGGTCTGGAGGGATACCTTCTTTGTCTTGAATCTTGGCTTTGACGTTATCAATGGTATCGCTGCTCTCAACTTCCAGTGTGATGGTCTTACCAGTGAGGGTTTTGACGAAAATCTGCATACCACCACGGAGGCGCAAGACCAAGTGGAGTGTAGATTCTTTCTGAATGTTGTAGTCAGCCAATGTGCGTCCGTCTTCCAGTTGTTTACCAGCGAAGATCAATCGTTGTTGATCTGGAGGAATACCTTCTTTGTCTTGGATCTTTGCCTTAACATTGTCAATGGTATCGCTGCTTTCGACTTCCAATGTGATGGTCTTTCCTGTTAGTGTCTTGACGAAGATCTGCATACCACCACGTAGACGGAGAACCAAGTGGAGAGTGGATTCTTTCTGGATGTTGTAATCAGCCAAAGTGCGTCCATCTTCCAATTGCTTACCGGCAAAGATCAAACGTTGTTGGTCTGGTGGGATACCCTCTTTGTCTTGGATCTTGGCTTTGACGTTGTCGATTGTGTCAGAAGACTCAACTTCCAAGGTGATAGTCTTACCGGTCAATGTCTTGACAAAGATTTGCATACCACCACGGAGACGCAAAACTAAATGGAGCGTGGACTCCTTCTGGATGTTGTAGTCAGCCAAGGTACGACCGTCTTCTAGTTGCTTACCAGCAAAGATGAGACGTTGTTGGTCTGGGGGAATGCCCTCCTTGTCTTGAATCTTGGCCTTAACATTGTCAATGGTATCAGAGGATTCAACCTCAAGGGTAATTGTCTTACCAGTCAAGGTCTTGACAAAAATTTGCATCTATAAAGAGGGAAGGCAGGTGGTTTGGTCAGAATAAGTCCAAGTGGCAATGCATCCAGAGTTTGACTCTGGGGATAAGCTTGTATGTTTGATACTTACTGTGTAGTATTGAAAGGTTGTAGATGGAAAGGTGTGTAGTGTATATGGATGTAAATATCCTGATGGTGGTGGATGGATAAGAGAAAGGATCGAGTCAGACTGAGCCTTTTTATATTGATGAATGGATGCTTGCGCGATCTATCCGTAAAGGTCCTCATCTACAGCAGCAGTGCTGCATGCACATTTGCAGTGTCTACATTAAGGCCACGGCAGGTACAGTGGAAACATATAGAAGGAAAGGGCTGTGAATACAGGCCATATGCCTTTGTTCTTTGTCAAAAGATACGGATATAAACCCAACTCTTATACACCCTAGACCCCCGTGGCGCACGCATTTGCAGTGCGAAATGTCACCTTATCCTATTACCACCCTGGCCTGGCCCGCCTGTTTGCACATACGGCCCTACTTATCTCAACCCCATTCTCATGTGTAATCATGCATAGACAACCCACACCAGCATATCATCAGTATATTCGCGCGACACTGCATGGCTCTGCTGTCACATTACTAGTGTGCATAATTTGTATTGTATTGATCACTGAATACAATTTATGGATTGCATTTGTATTCAGTCCACTTAAAGCGCGGCACAAGCAAACAATTAAAAAAGTTTGCTTAAATAAGTTTGGAATTTTATTGTGTGGCTTTGAAGGAGATGAAATCGGCCTATTTCGGTGGTAAAAGCTAATTCACATCAACTTAAACTTGTTCTTCTTCTTGTTATACCTCCCGATCTTAACCGCCAGCTGCAAAGTCGATCATTCCACTTTGAAGTTCTTCCGGAAAGGTTGATATTCCAACAATTTAAACTTCATTCGGGTTGGACAGGAAGTTGGGTTTTGGAAGGTTCCCTTCTTTGGCAGATTACGTTCTTCGTTTGAACTGTCATGTCAGGTACAAGTGAGCATCATCATCTCGTGTAACATTCAAAAAATAACTCATTGACCTTATTGAATGGAATTATGTTCTCGTTTTTCTCTACACAGTCTCATCCTACGTAGCATTAGGTATTTCTTGTGCGATTATTGGTTATCATCTAGGATCGGGATGGTCTTTACTGCAATATAATCGTGACGCCAAAAGACGATTACTGGAAGATTCTGAAGACGAAGAAGACGACGAAGATTTAACCGATAAAGATCGTGAGAATATGAACAAACTACGAGCAGGTTTAATGGAAGATTGCAAGCTTGTCTTGCTCGTTCGAATGGATTTAAAGATGGATAAAGGTAAAATTGCAGCTCAATGCGGTCATGCAACTTTGGCATGTTATAAAACAATGATGCAAACCAATCCTGCTTTGCTTAAATCTTGGGAACGATCAGGTCAAGCAAAAGTTGCACTAAAATGCCCTACAGAAGAGGATATGTTGGCATTGGAGAAAAAAGCAAAATCATTAAATTTGTGTGCTAGAAGCATTTTAGATGCGTGAGTATTCTGCACAAAATTTCATTTGATCATCACTGACACCCATCTACCCATCCATTACAGTGGAAGAACACAAATTGCAGCCGGTAGTAGAACCGTTTTGGGTATCGGACCTGGCCCTACCAAATTGATCGATCAAGTGACAGGACACTTGAAGCTGCTTTAATGCCGTATGTAAAGGTTCCTTTTCCTAATGCAATGTACTTTATTCAGGCACACACACACAACAAATGCATTTGAATCTCAACTGAAGCCTTTTGGGCGTTTCATTTTTGTGTATGAATATGAACATGATGTATGAAGTCATACAAGATTGGTGTAATGTGCGTAATGGTAACAAAGCTTCACCTTTGTAGCATGTTCAGACTACAAAAGCGAGCGAGTACAATAATGGATGCCAAGAATGGCGATCATTGAATGATCGCCGAACATGTGAGAGGAAATGAAGCGTAACCGAGAGAACCGAGTTTGTCGATTGACATACTTAGTTCATGCGACGGACCAAACGGTTGATGTCACCTTCACGGTCTCCGGTGTCACCACCTTCGATGAAATGTCTGAATTTGCGTTCAGCGAATCCTCCGTTAGGGCTAGAAAGCTTGAATGTCCACAAGAATGTGTTGGCTTCCTTGAAGTGGGGTCCAGCGGTGTAGATTTCGTGAACCAAATCTTCGACGGAGATGATACCGAATTTGCCCAAGTGCTCTTCGATGATGGCGTTATCGCTCAATGGGATACGTTGACGGTTGATCTTGGCGTATCCACGCTTGTAGATCAATTCACGGACAGTCTTCAAGTTGGGTTCACCGTATGTGACGTATGGTTCGACCAATTGGAGCATTTGTTGGGTTGCCTTTGTCAATTTGACAAAAGTACCGTTGTTGATTTGCAACAAACGCAACAATTGCAAGATCTTGCGTGGCTTGGGTGCAATGTTGGAGATACCGCGCAAACGGACGACGAAGGCGACCTTTGGTTGAGCGGGAACGTAGAAGTCTCCCTTTGACTTGGCAACACGGCGAAGACGGATCTCTTCACGTTCACGTTGCTTGTATTCCTTGGCGTACGATTCAGCACGCTTGAAGATAACACCGCGCTTGGCTTTTGATGCCTATTGGAGGGAGAAGAGGTGAAAAAGGTCAGCAAATGTTATCACTCCATCCGATCTCCAAAACATGCAGCAGTGGTGGCTTGAAATCACAGAAGAGTGCGCACCAAGATTCAGACCCGAAAGATGGTTGATTGTAGACAGCATCGCCATTGGCTAGCCAGCAAAAGTTGATAAATGGTATGCATCATTCTTGATCTCTTCGTGTGTTTCCTGAGAGAGGTAGCAGATGTTACGGGAAGTGGTTGGAACGAGGAGTGGCGGGAGGCTATCATATGTGCATTCCATAAGAAGCACGATGAGGAACCGCCTACTAGTCCAAGTTTACCATCATTCCTGCTGGATCCTCTGTAGCAGCACTTTCATCCACCCAGCCGACATCCGAGTACACATCTCTGCCACATCCTACTTTGTCGAAACCATCTGCATTCTCTCGTCCCACCCATCTCTGTCTCTTCTGCACTTCCCACACTCCTTCTTCATCATGATGAATCTGATGCTTACCTTACGTGCTTCTAGTGTCTTTGCTTGCTTCTCTTCGCGGCTCTTTGCGTCATCTCTGCGCTTTTTCAAAAGTGTTTCTGGAACCAATACATCGTTAACCGATGGAACGGTGGTCTTGGCTACCTTTGCTGACATATCGACTACTTGCTATGTTGATGACGAAGGAAGTGAGAAAGAGAGTTTAGCCTTGAGAAGATGTAACAAAAAATGCTTGCGCTTGCGCGGTGTATACAGTAGGCAGTACACTCTTGTCTTGCCGCTGTTCGCCTTTGGGTAGAGCAGCAGTAGCAGCAGCAGCGAGCCTAGAGTTGGAACTTTGAATTTTGACTTTGCAAGCTCTACCGGGCTGAATGCATTCAGTCAGTACGCACGAAAGTTTCCTCTGCCTTTAGCGAATATCATTTGCCTACCACCCGCTTATAAGCTTAACGCGCTTGCACGTGTCGGCCGAACCGCAGTGTTGCAGGCGTTGCAATTCTAAAGCCTGTTGACTGTTGACTGTGTTTGCTTATTAATTAAGGCTTGCGTTTTGTCGCGTTACGTAAGCAGTCGTTCCCATCAACATCACAGAATGATCACGGTCACACTCCTACATATATATCTTATTTGTATGAGACTATAGCATCATTGCGAAGAAGACTTGTACTTAATTTGATGATAACATGCATCTCTATTTTGATGTTCTTGAGTACTTTAATCAATTGACTCTTCCTCCCTACGGGCGTTGGTTGCTTCTATAAATATAAAAAGCCAATATGTGTTCGATATGTTGCAATTACATCTCATGAAGTGTAATAACGATGTTTGAGAGGTCCCGCTGAGCATCTTTGCAGCCAGATAGGAGACATCAGCGGGAGCTTTCATTCAATTCACTTTCTTGATTGATAAAATGATTTTTATATATTCCGCTTTTACATTCTACCGTAAAATAATTTTGTTGTTGATGGTACCCGAAAAATATGATGTCAGCCCTAGGTATGCTATACATCGATATGCCAGAGTAGATAGTCTGTCTGCCAGTTCTGTGAATGTGTCTTCGCTGATTGTCTGTGTACACAGTTCAGAAAATCTACACTGATGTAAGCTCATACAATGCATTAAAGGTCATTTTTACCAGAAAAGCGACAGGAATATAGTATTGGTCAGAGGAGACTCGTATAAGCTTCCTCATTTGAACGCAAATTCACGCATCAGATGTGCATTGCTGAAAATGATAAAAACCAGGCCTTATTCATTATAAACGAATTTCACTAAAACATCATCTTGGTACACAATTTTCACATGATGCAAATGGCCTACACTTTCTGATGTCATTTTATTCTATATTCCTTCAATCTAGTCTGTCCTTCGTCATCATTTAAGCAATTCAACAGCCATCAAAAGCCAAATTGAGCCGATTATCGGATGGCGTAACAATTATTCCACGGCTGAATAATAGAAAGTTGAAAATTGGCGTTGCAAAGTGAATCAACTGGGGGCGGGTCAAAGATGCAGGGCTAAATTACATACACGCGTGCGCTGCAAGACTGACAGACAGATAATGATCCTGTGCCCTAGCCTAGTCTTAAAGCCTTATGCTGCTGCACGCACGCGTCTAAAAAAATAAGAGTACAGCCAAAGTGCAGCTATCGGCTTATTCACACTCTCAACGCGTTCGTTCTTTTTAAAAGTGGATGTGGATGGTTTGATTGTGATGATGTTCAAGACAAACTCCATCTTTGAATAGGACAAGCAAAGGTTCAAGGGCATCTCTTTTCACTTGCTGACCATAATGGATGGTGTAAAAATGGAGGGAGAAGAACAGGGAACTCCACTCCGAACGCGATCTGCAAGGTTAAAAGCTGCTAATTCATCTCCTAATGCAAAGATTGCTGCTAGTGGTAGTGGTGATGATGAGGCAACCCCAATCATCGATGAAGTGGATCAAAAGACGAGTGGTACTAGAAGAATATCATCTCGTAGATCCTTGACAAATGGACTCGGTATTTCAAACGTTGTCGAGGAAGCGAAATCACCCACTCCAGACCAATCGTCAAAGTCAGAAGTCGTACCCGGAATATACGATTTAGAGATGGAACCAGAAGATACAGACATGGATGCAGATGAAGAGGAAAGAGACGTGACCATAAGACCGGAAGACAAAAAGAAGCTCAACATTGTCATTCGTGCATTTGCTCCTGATCTACTACGGTTACGTACCCAGCAACAAGCAGCCGCATCTACCTCAAATCTTGCCAACACACAACCCCAAGACGATTCTAGAAAGAGAGGCGCAGAGAGAAGAGCAGCTCGAGCATCGGATGTCACTTTGGACGATCTTTTATCCCAGCCTAAACTGGGAATCCGTCAATTACGCGATCATCTCATCAAATTACGAGCTCCTTTGGTCACACCTACAGCTTTACGCGCTCATCTATCTGGTTCACACATTCTTCCTTCTCGTGATACATTAGAGGATGATCGGACAAAGCTGAATACAATCTCAACCTGTTTAAGTCTAGTGGAAGAGCTAGCCAGAGGTACGGAACGACAGATAACAGAAGAGACCACAAATGTTGATGGAGGCAGAACGGGAGAGTATGCTCTGCAGATGCGATTACCAGGTGGTGATTACTTTACCAATGCGGTTTCAATGTCAGCAAAGGAAGCTGCCGAAATTGATCCTGCCTATGCACGTATCGTGGACTTCAGTGCAACTCGCTTAGCTCCACGCTCTCATACCGTGCCCACACTTGGTGATCGTTTGTATGATGCTTTGCGGACTGATAAAACGCAAGTTGCTCACCCAATCCTAGGAATGCCTGTTCGCTACAGGCGCGAAGATGAAGAGGTGATCAAACCAGTCTCTCACCTATACTACGGATCATGGTCTTCTTTCGCTCCTACATACGATTCTTTTGATGGTCAAATGAGCCATAAAGCCAGCAATGCTCTCTGGCGAGCAAAACGAGATGAAGCAGTAGAGATGCGAAAGCTGGCAGCACGAAAACCGACTCTGTATGGAGTTGATGCTCGGGAACAATTGGAGGATATGATGGACGAAATGGAAACAGATTTAGACGCAGATTTAATTTTGGACGGATATGATAATTTGCCAGATCTAGATTGGAAGCAATCTCAAGCGGACAATATTGATGAGATTTTGACCCGAAATGCGACATTATTGGCATGCTTGCTAGATCTACAAGAACAACGCTGGCATCAGTTGGTGGCTAAAAGTGTGGCCAATTCAAGAGGGTATGAAGAAGCACTAGCAAAGCCAGATGCGAATGAACAAGCAATCGCACGATCTTTGCTTTCTTCCCTTACCAGTCTTCTCTTAGTGCAGCCTAGAATAAGTGAATCGAACAACAAGGACGAAGGAGCAGAAGATGATGATGTCATTCCATCTACGGGCAAATTGCAATCGTTATCTTCATCGGCTGCAATCGACCCTGCTCTGATGGGTGGAAAGGCAGAGCAAGGCATCTGGGGAACGTTGGATAAGACTACATTTGGTCCAGAGGCAATGCGCAGACAAGCACTTTCCCGTTCAATGGTTTCAGCAAGGCCCGTTGCTGCTGTCCGTGATAATGAAACATTACGATTATCCAAAGAAACAGAAGATAAAGCAACAAGTCAAACAATGTCATTAGGAGCAACAGTTTTAGGTGCCAATCGTGATCGAGGTAATGGATTATTGGATCGATTTGCATCTTCTAGAGGGTATGTACTTGAAGATCATCCACACGATCGTAAGCCACCCGTCCCGCCTGCTCCGGCTGCTCGACCACCGCCACCTACCCCGCCCGTTGGAGCTCGACCACCGATCCCAGGACCTCACCAAAACGCAGTCTCGGGACGACCACCATTCCAAGCGCCACGTCAAGGAATGCCACAATTCCATCCACATCAATCCAGATCAGGCTATCCGCCTGTTTCGAGCGGCCATATGCCTTTTGGCAGACCATCTCCTTTAGCATCAAATGGCTCAAGCGTACGTCCCCCTTCGCAACAAGCAATGACAACAGCAACAGGATCACCGTCTTATCGTTAATGTAGTAGGAAAAATAAGAAAAATTCAATGTATACTATCTCAGTCAATGTCATTTTTAGAAAAAAAGTGTCTGGCAATTGAAAATTAAAAGAAACACTAACGAACAAGATAAAGCGTATCTAAGAATCTCGAAGCAATCTCTCCAACAAGAGCTGGTCCGGCTGAACTTGATCCCAAACCGTATAATTGTACCATTGAGCCTGGAGGTCCACGTGTCTTTGCCTCTTTAACAGCAGCTTTGAGATCTTTAAGGAATTCGTCCACAACGGGAACGGTCAATTTTGTGCATGCGATATGAATTGCGGGTGGTTCGGTTGCCAATCCGCTCAAATGCCAACCTTTTGCGCTCATCTTGTCACCAACTTCATAGATGTTTACCGAGCCAGCACTGCAAAATGAGACAACGCTTACCATAGGTCTACCCATTATGCGTAATTGATGAATTTCATCGCGAATACCTTTTTCAATCTTTCGTGCTGCTCCTACGATCTCTTTGCATGATTCTGTATATCCATCATCACCCATAGACATCAAAGCTGCCCATGTTCCTGCAACCAATGCGCCCGGTCGTGAGCCTGCGATAGATGGGGAAGCATAAACACCTCCAGTCCATCCTGGTTGCACGTAATATTGATGACGGCGCAATTCTCCAGTTCGATACATGACGATTGAAGATCCTTTTGGTGCGAAACCGTATTTGTGTGTATCGCAACTGATGCTTGTAACGCCATCGATACGGAAGTCAAATGGAGCACTTGGCAAGCCTGCTTTTTCCAAGAATGGCATCAAGAATGATCCTAAACAACAATCAACGTGGCACAAAATCTTTGATCGTTTGGCCAACAGTGCAATCGAATCAATGTCATCAATAATTCCTTCACCGAACGAAGGTGCACTTCCTACCACCATAACTGTATTACTGTTAATTGCTCTCCGCATACTTGCAATTCGAACCTTTCGTGTGATTCGATCGACATCAACTTCGATGATTTTGATCTTGAAGTATTCTCCTGCTTTGTGGAAAGCAGCATGAGCGGATCGTGAGAGAACGATTTCTGGACGTGTGATTCCCTTTGTTCTGTAACCCCATTCACGAGCTGCTTTGCATGCCATCAAGATGGATTCCGTACCTCCCGATGTCATTGTGCCTGCTCCAGTTTCAGGTGCATTGTACAAGCGCAAAACCATTGAAACCACTTCTGCTTCCATACGACGAACACCAGGGAATACGTCTGGATGCAAAGGGTTGGAAACCATGAACATCTTGATTGTATCACCCAATAAGTCACTCATCTCTTGACCTCCGTGGTATACTGCACCACTAATCTTACCGCCCTTCCAGATCATCTGGCCGTCTTTTTGTAGAGCATCTTCCTCTCCACCTTCCTCAATCAAGGAGACGGAATTAGCGAGTCCCTCTTTGCTGGCTGGTTTGGCAATGTGTAAACGTTGTAGTTTGACCAATGCAGTCATCAACCAATCCCGATCACGACCGTATTCGGGTAAGGTGGGGTTGCTGGATAGAGTCGTGATTCGAGGTGCGATCTTATCTTCGAGCTCCTTTGTGGCAGCGTCTAGTTCCCGTGTCACCTTTCTATTGATGGCAGGAATCTTCATCAAAAGCAAGAATAAACGTCTTGAGATTTCCACGTAGACCTGATGAATACTTGCAGTCACGCCAAAAGAACGAATATGTCTCCATAATCTGAGAGTGTACTTGTAAAGCACGACGTAAAAGATTAGAGTTCTTGCATTGTCAACTGTCAAGGCTTGCGATAGAGCCAAAGAGACAAGAGATGGTGGACCTGCATTAGCATTGCCTGGTCGAGAAGATGTTGAAGCTGGCATGATGTCAATTTAGTGCGAGGTTTTGTTGTTGATGTTTCTGATTGTACCAAAGATGACCTTGCTTGCTTTTATACCTTTTCTTTTGTTTTTCAAGTCGGCGTTTCAAAGATAAGAATAAATGCCTTTGGAGCTGTGCAAAAGAATCCGTTCTCCTCTTTCCGTATACGCCTTCTTGGTTTGCGTGCCGAAAGACCGAAATGAAGAAAAGAGCGGGTAAACTGTTTGGAAGAGATTGAAACTTTTACGGAGCTTTTGTACCAAGATTCCTTTCCCGCCTTGCAAAGAAGTTACAAAGTCAGGATCTCGGATTCGGGCCGTTTATGAGGAATGTATGATGAACGGTTCCGCGATGCCCGGTGGGTTGATGATGCTTCAAAAATGGACGTTGCAACGGTGTAGCCAGCAATTGTGAGACTGATGGAAGTTGGAAGTCCTGACAAGAGGATGAGAGAGTGAGAAACTTTCTCTTTCTTTTTAAAGCCCCGCACTGTTCGCAAAAGTGATGATGAGCTGAGCGTATGAAGTTGAATGTATGCATGTGAGAAAGTTATACGCTTATTGTGCCCCTCGCAATCGCGTTGAAAGTGCACTGCATCACAACAAAAAGTACGGAATTCGGTCAAAGGGATTTCGGTTTTCATTCTTGGGGCTATCGGAAAGGCAAAAGTGATCGACATTGATCATTTTACAGCCATGACACAGCATTCATCTTGAGATCGTGGCGATGATTGGCAAAAGGGGATACGATGTTCTCATGTTCTTAGGCAAACAGTATAAAGGCGCAGGCGTTAATGGCGAATGTTGCTTGTGTGTGTGAATAAGCTGTGCCTTATGATTTAGTGGTCCGTCTTTGATTGAGAGAAGCAGAGGCGCTGGGGCTGGGCTATTGCTACAGTTGTGTTGTTGTTCGCGTGTTTAACCATTTATTCGCATCCAAAAGAAATACCATCATATCTTCTTACCTTTCTTGTCTTTTCTATTGCGCTGGTACGCTACCTCTTCATCAAATCTCATTCAATTGATTGGATCGATTGCAATCAACATTCAAGGTTCTACTCTTACAAGGCAAGCTGATGCTGCTTTGTTGTTGCTCATAGAAAGCATTTCGGCCAATCGGTTGAACGTAAGTACATTCAACAATCCAACCTCGCTTACCTTTACGTTTATCATCACGTTTACCGCTTCGAAATGTCTCATTATGATTCGTACGGCTATGATCGAAGCGATCGACTTTTTGATGAACGAGATCCATACGGTGGAGCAGCCGTTGGTTATGCAGATCGTGGAATAAAGAGACAACGTTCTCATACTCCTGCATATGATGATGTATATCATGGCAGCAGTGAAAGAGAATGGGAACACAAACGAAGGAGATCAAGAGAAGGCGATTGGGGTTCAACAGCAGAACGATCACCCGAACGTGGTCGAAGGTCTTGGAATGAACTTGATCCCGAAGAGAAGGAAAGAGAATGGAGAATGTACGAACGTGAACGTGATGTCGAAAAAGAATGGGATCGATATTATGCAGGCCGTGGTGCAGCTGAAGAAAGAGACCCGCGATCACGGTCTCATCGAGAGGGACGACATACACCTGAAGACGAATTTCGAAGTGCAGAGGACAGTCTTACAAGGGAAAACGGAGCTGGTGGTCGTTCGACACGTCCAACGGATTCATTGAAAGACCCAATGGATTCTCGAACCATTCTCACATTCAAGCGGTATGCCCAACTCCTACGAGAAAATGGCAAAGAACCTGCTGCAAGCTCAAATTCGATGGAAGCCACACAGATTCTGTATGAAAAATACCAAGAATATCGCAAGGCATTTCAACGTCGAGCAATGGAACAATTCTTTGAGGCACAAAAGAATGCACCTTGGTTCAGGGAAAAGTTCGGAATCTGGCCAGAAGAAGAAGAAGCGAGAGCTGCACGTAGAAGGCAAGGCAGAAGCGGGAAACGAAAGGCGTGGCTGAACGATCTTCGTTCTGGAGCGTTGGATAAGATTAATTTTGACGTCATTGAAACCCGAGAGCCTAGAAAAGGTCAAGTTGACTCACACAGTACTCAGAGCAAATACCTCGTTGCAACGAATCAAGCAGGAGAGAGGGAGGAAATTGATGATGCCGAATCTGCTGTCCTTCCACCCGAATCTAATCAACTCCTCATTCGATCCATACCTTCTGAGATTGGAAGATCATCTATCGAGGAAGCGCTCAAAGGAGAAGAAGGATTTCAGCATCTTGCACTTGGTGAGCCTCATCCACTCAAGCGATACGGTCGAGTAGGTTGTGCAGTATTTGAGCACCAAAGTGCTGATACGATGCTCGATATTGCGTCCCGCTTGAGCCAAACGACCATCGAAGGTCAAAGACTTACGTTCGAATTGGCAAATCGCCCAGCCCAGGTCAAATTACGAATTGCACCAGAGTATGCATGCTCTTTACCAAGACTTCTACACGATCTCAATCAAGCCCGCAAAGCGCTTCAACTTTTTGAGAGCGATGATCGCGAAGAAGCACGGAAAGCGAATGGTTCTGCAGCCTTGACAGAAGAGGAAATTGACTTGGATGCATCAGATGCTTCCGAGATCGAGCAGCGAGCTTTGCACGTCACATTTCCTGACGGTGCCAATGCAGAAGGGATGAGAGGGTGGCTATCGAGTATCTTGGATCTCAAATCCGGACAAGGTGAGGGAACGAGTACTGCCGAGAACGATAATGCGATCAATAAGGCCCTTTTGGGAGAAGATGAGGAAGGAAGTGAAGCAATTTTGACGAAGCAGGAATTGCTACGAAAGAATCTCGATCTTTGTATCGATCTTTTGCGAAAGGTGTACAATTGCGATTATTATTCTTCCACTGTTTCTGATTTTCCCGAAGAATTGGCAAGAAGGGTACCTCGTTGCTTACGATACAATTGCGCAAAGCCTATGACCCATCTCTCGGCGATTGCAGAGAAAGCCAAGTTGTGGGCAAGCAATGTTGACACCAAACATGAATTGCTCATGCGACCGGACGACAGTGAAATTAGCAAGTATGGTGGAATAGATATCAAGGCCATGCTGATTGATCTTGCAGCACCTTATTCTCGTCAAGACGAAGCGGAAAAGCATAGATGTATTGTCAAGGTGAATGGGGAAGAGTGCGGTAAACCTTTCAAAGCGCAAATTTTCGTTCAAAAGCATGTTACCAATAAACACAAAGAATGGTTCAATGAACTTATGACCGAAAAGATTGATGATGCACGATTTTACAACAATTACGTGCGAGATCCGCAAAGGCCAATGCCGGTTGTTCAACCGCCTGAACGAAATGGCGGTACAGCAGCTGCAGCCCAATCATCTTTGGGATCTAGATTGGGAGGGTATGATAATAGCAATCCTGCACAGGTGAGCGCAAGTGGAAATGGCTATTATGGATCGGGAAACCTTGTACGTTTGGGTTTGTCAAGTGCAGCTGCCGGTGCCGGTGATTATGCTCGTGATCGATTTGGCGATTCGACTCTTGGCGGTGGTTCATTGCGAATGGGTGCAATCACTTCCGATCCTTCTTCCGTACCAAGCGCTGGCATGAGTGTCAGTCGTGCCCAGCTTGATCCCCGTGCATCAATGGCACCCAAGAGCTACCGAGATTTGGATGCTGGTGTTCCTTCTGGTGCAGCCGAGACTGAGTTGGAGTACTGATGTGTATCATTGAATCCCACTCAATCTTTCACTTTGTTTGATTCGTTCCCGCCCCGTATTCAACTTATTTCATCTCTTCACACCATTGTACTATTATCGCATACAAATGTATTGAAACGTATATTTTACAACATAAACTCTTTTCGAAGCTTTACTTCTTTGATTGATCACTTGCTTTCTTCTGCGGGAGCCCTCGAAAACGGCGAACAGACATCGATGGCATCGGAATGGGTGCCATGGGCTTACTTGCTGGGGTAGACTGGGGCTGGAGGGAGGGCTGAGGAGGTGGTGTAGGTGTTGACATTTCTGGTGGAGTAGACTGGGGCTGGAGGGAGGGTTGAGAAGGTGGTGTCGGTATTGGCATGTCTGGTGGAGCTGGTGAAGAAGCTTGGGCCAATTCGTCTACCGTGTTCCCTCTTTCACTGGCACTGTCTTCTGTCAGTTGCAGACTTTCCAACTCTTCAGCTGCCATTGAGATGTCAGGGGCGATCGGGGCAGGATACAGTAATTTTTCTTGCTCGATGATTTTGCGTCGCTCCTCCAGGATTACCGCCAACCGTGCTGCTTCAAGCTGTTCTTGTTGTCTCCTTTCGGCTTCTTCAGCTTCTGCTTCATCCCGAAAGCGGTTGACTAGAACAGACGAAGAACGAGGTCGTCCCGCTCGGGTGGTAAACGCTTTCGCTCTTGCTCCTTCTTCGTCTCCGTCATCGCTGTTGAGCACAATGGAATCCTCCAAAGTAGAGCCGGATGATCTTGAAACATCTGCGGTTTGCTGCTCAGATGGCTGAGTGGAAACTACCATGGCTTCGACAGCTTGTTCCTCTTCTTCTCTTTCCTGTCCAGCCAATTCTTCTTGCATTTCCGACCTGCTCTCCTCCTCTTGCAAGTCCGGCCTATGCTCTTCCTCTTGCACTTGCATCCTGTCTTCTTCCCTTTCTTGCTGCTCCGGCCTGCCCACCTCTTCTTGCTGCTCCGGCCTGCCCACCTCTTCTTGCTGCTCCGG